ACAAATTAATCTAACACCATATCTCAATCCAAAACTTTAAGACATTAAGTTTATAGGTTCTCTTACTTATATACTCCATGATTAGCTCATTCATTCCCGATATGAATTTTTTTTATCACTTGCACTTAAATTCCCAACATGGTTAGGGAGAGCCTATCATCCACGCAACAAATGAGTTTAAGCGACAAGCCACAACATATTAATTTAATACCATATTTTAATCCAAAATCTTAAAATATTGAGTTTGTAGGTCCTTTTACTTTTATATACCATAGTTAGTTCATTCCTTCCCGATATGAATTTTTTTTATCATTCACACTTGAATTCCCAATAGGATAGGAGCTTACCTTTAATTCTGATGTCATATTAATTAATGAGGAAAGTTATACTTACAATCTCTTACAACCATATCTTAACCGTTGATTTTCGCAAATCAACGGTTATTATTTTTTCAAATCAAATTCATTAATTAATTATTAATTCACAATAAATGATAACCATTGATTGACGGAAATCAACGGTTAAGATATGATTGTAAAAGGTTGTAAACGAAAATAGGTTGTAAGTCCTTCCTCTTAATTAATTATTATAATTGTTAAAATTGCCTTTTTTAATATTTATCAAAACATTATTTTTAAAATAAATATTCATATAATAATTAATTATAAATCTTTTAATAAATGTTAATTTAAAAATTAAATAATTATTTAAAATTAATATTTTTAAACTGTAATTGATTATATAAATAAGTAAGAAACAATACGAGATAGAAAATCGGTCAGAGTAACACGTAATTAGTCTAATAAATTTTCAATCTAAATCGTACTTAATTCATTATGGACTGGTTCACATTCGTATCAATTCGCAATGGACAAACTTCAATGAGTTGAGTTGGCCCGAATTGAAGTAGAGATCAAGTTTCAAATCCTTGTTATTGTTAGTGATGAGGGTGAGTCCATATCCAATGTCACCTATTCCTTGGTTGTTACCGATAAGGGTATCTTTTAAATCTTATTCGCTTTCATACTCATAGGTAGGTTTATGCATTTCGTTTCGTATTCGTTCGTTCACTCAATCAGTTTTGGAATATTTGTAGGTGGCTTTACTAAGGTTTCTTGTTGGACATCTATCTTTTCAAGCCTTCATCTTTCGTAAAATTTTCTTAAGAATATAAAGGACATTGGAAGCTAACTATTTGGATTGGATGGTTGTTACTTTCGTATTTATTTATTTTTTTAAGAAAAAGGAAATAGATTATGAATTATTATATCATCATACGAAAGAAAAGACATCAAGATGGGAAGAGATGAGTGGTGATGTGGGCCAATTAATCATCCGAGACATTTCTCGTAGAAGACTTGGAGATATTGTTGGTGATGGTCGTGATGGTGCCTTTGTTATGTTAAGCTACAATATTAAGAAGCATATACAAGGAATATATATCATAGCACTGACTGACTCAATAAATGTTGAAAAAAAAGGTTTACCAAAAAATGATTAAAGGAATATTAGTGGGCAATATAATGATACGCATTTACCATCAATAACATGACGTACTGACCAAGGTACTTAATTTAGAGTAAGAAGTGGTATTGAACCGAATTGAATCTTGGGGTAGAGGACGTGTAGGGTTAAATCTTGGGGTGTGTATTGATCAAATTGAATCGAATTTTTTAAAACAAGAATCGAATTAATTTAAACAGTTCGGTTATTGGTGGGCTTGGAGAGTTGATTGATCACCTTGGAGGCTTGCAATCTCTTTCTTACATGATTCTAGGTGAGTTGATGTTAAGAAATCCTAGTTTCTTTTAAGTTGTATGAAAGATTGATTTCTATGTTTTTCTATGAAAATGGATCTTTGAATAGCATGATTGAGTTTTAAGCCTTGTTGGTCTAAAGAGACTATTTGGCACTTTATGGGAGCAACATATGACTTAATTAAATAAACATCAAGTGTCCCGCATGTTGTTTAAGTTATGATTACAGTTGTTTCTGGAAATTGTTTTAATTATGAAATTAATTTGAAACAAAAACGTTTATTTACAAAGAGGACAAAGTTTATCCGTATTTTAACTCAAACGTTGTGATTGTAATTGCGCTTAATGCCATATGTAATGTTAATAAATCGGATATAGAACAGGGTGTTACATGCATGGGTCGAATTGAATCGAATTTTTTGAAAAATTGAATCTAATTGGTTTAAACGGTTCAGTTCGAAAATGGTTCGTTTCGATTCAAAATCGGTTCGGTTTGATTCAAAATCGGTTCGCTTCGGTTCGGTCGGAAACAGTTCGATTCGATTCAGAACCGGTTATGGTCGACTCTATTATAGAAAAAAAATTAAAGAAATAAAGTAATAAAAATCAATTCAGTTCGATTCTGGAACTGATTTTTTTAAAAACGATTCGGTTCATGAATAGATTTTTAAAAATCGGTTATTTTAAGTGAGTTAAGTTTGGTTCACGGTTTGGTTCAATTTTTTGGTTATTTTACATATTTATAGTTAAATCAGTTAAATTTAATTTATATAATAGATATAAAATTAATAATATTATGATAAATAAAAACAATTGGTCTAACGGTAAATGTTGCAAGCCTCAACAATCAACAAGGGTCATTAGTTTACAATCGGTTCAAATGCAAAAACGGTCCAAACATTAGACCGAACTAGCTGGGGTACCCGTCGGATCGACGGGTTTGGTCCGGTTTTCACAATGTGGTTATGCAATAGTTTTTTTGGAGCAAAATTATATAATATTAATTTATCAACATCGTTAGATTCGATGGGAATTGAATCCAATTAGTGTATAATATGACGACGACAATATAGACATTCCAAATTAGGACTGTTGCAGGTGGAATCGGGTCACTTCAATGATGATATAAATATTCCAAACACATACGAGACTTGGGAAAAAGTGACAGCAAGGAAGGGGAGGGAGAGTCTGGAAACTTGTTTTGCTAACCCAAGAAAATGTGATTTAAAACGCTAATTAGACAAACGAACGTAGAATTTGGTTCACAATGGAAGAAATTTAAGTCACTAAAAAGCAAAAGAAAAAGAGTTGGCACATTTGACAAGTTAGAAAATTATGTACTAAAATAACATTTAACGGTGATAGATAGGGATATCCGAACAAAATTGTTCTTTTTTATGTTAAAAAAAATGATATGATCAAGTTCACAATCATATAAAGGTGATTAACAGTTACAATTTTATAACTATTTATTTTAATATTTTTTTTCTCTTTATTACTGTTGATCCATCTCTTATACTATTCCCCTGATTTTTTTTTTAATTCATATCTATATATGAGACATCATGCACCCATTCCTATGTAGGTCTAAGTGAACATAACTGCGGGTTGGGCGGGGAGTGGGGTGCCTCTACACGTTTGATTATTGATATGGCCAAAATGTCCGTGCATTTGAGAGCGACTGCTAAGGTTACTTTTCCTATTCTGCGAACTTAACTAGAATTCGCAACAAACAAACGCTTCAACCGCTTCTAATACAAAATTAATTGCAATGGGGTCTTTTTAAGTAACCCATCGAGGCCCTTTAGTTTCAAGACTCGCCCAAAATTTAAATCAGCTAACCCTGTTCGGTATTTTAAAGTATTTTTTCCCCACTTTTTTTTTTTTGCTTTTGTTTGTTTTTTTCTTTCTTAAGGAATTAGGCATAGTTAAATCTGCATCAGCTCATTTTGAGAGTTGGTTGTAGTTTGGTGAGATATTTAATTAACTGCTAATTGCTTTCTACAACGGTTCCGGTTGCTTCTCAAACCTGCAAGAAAATATTTTTTCTTTCTAGAGTGGGTGATGATGTGGCGCTGTTACATCTTAACAAAGTAATTATATAACATATAGAAAACCAAATACCATCATGTGCATGGCATGGAGATCAGTGAAGTTATTGAGTCATGCCCTCTGCTTCTCTCTTTTATGTAATTTCATTTGAGGTAATTTTAGATAGCAACAATTCATTTCATTCCATGATATCTATGCCACAACCAAATCTATGTGCAGATTGATTGAGTAGGAGTGTTTTTTCGTGTTCGGCATAAAATAATGTAGAAAGAAAAAGAAATCGGGGAACTTTTATAATATTGGAGTTAAATCTAATGAAAGCGTCTTACATGTCATTTGTTTTGTATGTATTGTTCTTGTTGAGAAGATAAGATGCTCATTTTTCAAGTTACGTGTTTTAATAGGAAAAGCGAACAAAAATGTAACCGCTGGACTGGGAATTCCAATAAGAAAGAAACTTCGAAACATATGAGCAAGAATTCAATGCGGCAATGGAATTCCTGGTTGGTTTTTAATAATAATAATAAATAATAATAAATAAATAAATAAAAAGCAGATTGTTGTAACCGAAAGGAGGAAGGGGCATAAATGGAAATGGAAATAGAAATAGAGCAGAGGCAGGCGTCAATTGTCAAAGTTCGATTTTTCAAGCTTCCAAAATAGAATAGTTTGGTGCTTCGGTTTTTTCTTTTTCCGGAACTGCGCGTGCTAACCTCCTAACTCCTCATAAGTTCCAAGTTCACACCATATTTATTCTGCTCCACCTACCTACTTAGCCACCACGAAACTCCGATGAATTGAGACTTGAAGAGGGATAAAGAAAACGCAGGTATTATAAACATATATATAGGACATATGGTGCAATAATAATATATATTTATTGGACAAGTTATTTTTTACACCAATAATATAAGTGTAAAATTATGTTATCTATCCATCGATTGTATTGTATATATAAACGGTAAAAGGAAAGTCAACAATAATATATATATAAATAAAAGAAAGACGGACAACCTCAAGAGTGGACCAATGTAATAGAAAATAAGATTTATGAAAATGATATTAAATTTGATTAATTGTTTATAAAACAAATAATGATGGTGAGGAGTAACCGAAAAAAGAAACACAGGATATGTGAGTGTTTTTTGTTTTTGTATTATAAACATTAAAGATTAAGCGAGAGAGGATGAGAGCAAGAAGCACGCACCGACGCAACAAGAACGCAGGCACAAGACAAGAGAATGGTCACAGAACGAGACATAGACACAGAGAGTGGGGGTGGTCTTTTAGTTTAATTAATTAAATTATATTTTAAGTGCTCACAAATACAAAGAAAAAAAAAAACGGTAGAAGCGGACGAGGAAGTCCGTGCTGGCAAAAGATTCCCTCATTCACTCACTCGCTTGTTTTCTTCCCCAGGTAACTGTACTAGCACTAGCAAATAGCAATATCAATAGCACTAACTCAACCCCTTTTCCCTTTTTCCCTGTGTTTTTGATAACAACACAATTAGAAACCCTAAAAGGTTCTTCTTCTTCTTTGTTTTTGGGGGACAGCTATTCTAATACTACTACTACTACTGTTTTTGAGTAATTGGAAGGTGGTTGTGGAATTTATGGGGTGTGCCAGCTCGAAGCTGGATGATCTTCCAGCGGTGGCGCTATGCCGTGAGCGGTGTACCTTTCTCGACGAAGCAATTCACCAACGCTATGCACTCGCCGCAGCTCACATCGCTTACATCAACTCTCTCAAGGCAATTGGCCACTCTTTAAATGTTTTCATTCATCAAGATAGGGATTTCGCTGCTTCTTCACCACTCTCTTCACTTTCATCATCACCGTTACACTCACCACCTCATAAGCCTGCAAAACACAATAACGCCGCCTCTCTTCCTCATCACTCCGATTCCGATTCCGGTTCACATCTCCATTTCCACTCTGATTCCGACGACATCCCTTCCCTTCATCATTCCACCAATTCCTCTCCTATGCATCTCGATATGCCACACATGAATAATTATTATGAGAATTCTGAATCACAATCAGATTATCATCATCATCAGCAGCAGCAGCAGCAGCATCACCTTCCCTCTAATCTTCACATGAATTTCATGAGGAATAAACCCACTTCTTCAATTGTCTACGAGCAGAGACCTATGAGCCCTGACAATGTTTATGTCGGTGAGTCATCTTCCTCTTCTTCCTATTACCCTTACCCTTCTTATCCTTCTTATTCTTCTTATCCTCCTCAACCTTATGATCCCTATTCAAATCCTCCTCCCTTTTACGGATCCTCCTCGCCCTACCGCCAACCTCCTCCTCCAACCACCGCCTCAAAACCCCCTCCTCCGCCTCCTGAACCAAAGGCTTCCACTTGGGATTTTCTCAACTTTTTCGGTAACGATGATGACAAGGACTATGCTCAACCTCAACCTTACTCTAACTTCACATTCACACCGAGCCGCGATTCGAAGGACTTGAGAGAAGAGGAGGGGATACCCGATTTGGAAGATGAGGATTACCAGCACGAAGTGGTCAAGCAGGTCCATGGGGATCAAAAGCTCGTCGAGCCTCATCACGAAGCCTCCCGCGCCGCCGCCGCAGCCGCCGCCGACAATGACCATGGACATGGGGTCGAATACGAGGTGCATGTGATGGACAAGAAAGTCGTTGATGAAGATGATGACAGGGCCAAGTCCAAGGAGCACGCTGCATTCCGAGGAGGACCAAGGGGTTCTCGGAATCCCCTTGAGGTTGCCAAAGAGATTCAGCTTCAGTTTCAGAGGGCTTCTGACTCTGGTGTCGAAATCGCCAAGATCCTTGAGGTGGGAAAGCTTCCCCATAATCGAAAGCATGGAGCTTATCAAGGTTATTTATTTATTTATTTACATTTTCATCATTTCTTTCTCATAATTTCCCCGCTGCTATGCTTCAATATTTAATCTTGTTGCTGATTTTCAAATACCTGTGCCTGGTCCCCCACTATGAAGCAGCTTCTTCCAAGATGTTACATGTAGTTGTTCCCTCATTGTCCATGGTGTCTTCGCAACCTTCTACTTCTAAAAGTGCCGAATCCGCGTCCACCAATGACATTGCTGCTCCTGGTAATCTGGATTTTGATGTTGATCTAGCAACGAGGTCACGCAATCTTTCGTCTACTCTGCAGAAGCTATATCTTTGGGAGAAGAAACTCTTCAATGAAGTTAAGGTATGTCAGTCTTATACATAATGTTATGGGTCATAATTGACCAATCTGGTTCCATTCATTTCACTTTCAAACCAGCTAATCTTTGGCCATCCCAATTATTCCTACTGCTATCTCGCATGAGGTAATTTATTCCACGCTGCGTTTTGCTGGAGATCTGACTTGACTTCTTGTATGTTGTAATCTAATCAATGTTTAGAATTTGGGAGAAATCAACTGGTGACTGGTTTTTTATGCCATAAATGTAATCTTGTTAACCAGTATTTATAGGTTTCCACAAAGCTTTTTTCAATGTATTTTTGTCTGCAGGCTGAGGAAAAGATGCGGGTCATGCATGATAGAAAGTGTCACAAGCTGAAACGTTTGGATGAAAGGGGTGCTGATTTTCATAAATTTGATTCAACTCGAACTTTGATTAGGGATCTGTCCACAAAAATAAGAATGGCAATTCAGGTTGTTGATAAGATTTCTATGACAATAAATAAGATAAGGGATGAAGAGCTGTGGCCGCAGCTGAAGGAATTAATCCATGGGTATGTAAAGTTAAAAAAATTCCAGTCTTGTTATTTGTGCAGGTCCTTCATGTCTCTCTATTCCTGACAGGTTATATGTTCGCTTTCTACTCTCTCTTTTTTTTTTTTTTTTGAATATCTGGAAAAAGGTTTAGGGTTAAGTTATGTGCCTTCTCTACTAAATTTGACTGCTATTTTGTGTACTCTCCTATTATCATTAAGGTGATACAACATACCTCGTATCACACATATATGTATCAATCAACTGTAAAGTGTCAATTTTTTGCTATTATAATAGAAGAGGAGGGTTGTGTTAAACATTTGGTAGCCAAAGTACAACTATGTAGGCAACCCATCTATAATGGGATAAGACTTGAGGCTTTGTTGTTGTTGTATAATGATCCAGTCATGTATTTTCTTGCCTGTTCAGTTGTGCTTTCCACTTTTAGCAGTTTGGATTTTCCTCCAGCCACTAAACTATGTGCCTGACACCATAAAACATTAGAGAAAGAAATGGAAGGAGTTATTTAGTTACTGAGGTTCCATTCCATTAGCATCACCTCTCCTATATTTTAACCCTGTTGAAATAAATTGAAGTACTGATGCACAACTCCCCACAATTCTTTGTTTGCCTTGATGAAATGATAATCTGAGAAATTCAACCACCTATTCTCATAACTGCTGATAGAAGCAAGTACTTGTCCATCTTCTAAGATTATTTCTGATAGTTCGAAGTATTGTTATTTACTCTGATGTCTGTGTATAGCCCCAAACAATATCCGTTCTAGATAATTTGGTAACTCATCTGCCCAATTTCTAGATTTTTTTGTGATTGATTTGTCAGCCAGGGGAATTATACTTTACATGGAAATGATGCTGCCCTCTTAAGAGTCACGCTGAGTAATTTATTACTCCCCAATCACCAAAAGGAACCTTAAAACCCTAAAATATACCCCCACTATCTTTGTATGAGTGGATTGTGCTCTTGAATTCAGAGTCTTTTTCATGCTCCTTCAAGTTACCCGTTGCACAAGACATGTTGTCGTTAACCATGCCCTTATTTATTCTTCTTAAGTTTATACTTCTTGAATTAATTCTCTCATTTTCTTTGAAGTTGCGAACTTTTATATATATATATATATATCCTTTGGGATAAGACATGCATGTGATATTCAATTCATACATAGTATAGAATTAATGTTTTGCTTTTTCTCATTGTAATATAATTATAATCTTAGAACTTTTGTGGGTTTGTGCATAATGTTTTGTGTATAAATGGTATATAACATAAACTTCTTTTCAGGTTGACCAGAATGTGGAAATCCATGCTTGAATGCCATCATTCTCAGCGTGAAGCAATTAGAGAAGCCAGAATTCTGGGTCCAGTTGGATCCAGGAAGAGGAGCGGTGACAGTCATCTTGAAGCTACCAAGCATCTTGAACAAGAGCTTATAAATTGGACCTTCCAATTCTCTGGCTGGATAAGTGCCCAGAAAGGTTATGTAAGAGCATTGAATAGTTGGCTGCTGAAATGTCTCCTGTATGAACCTGAAGAAACACCTGATGGCATAGTCCCCTTTTCCCCTAGTAGGATTGGTGCCCCCCAAATATTTGTGATATGTAATCAGTGGTCCCAAGCTTTGGATAGAATATCTGAAAAGGAAGTTGTTGATTCGATGCATGTATTTACCATGAGTGTGCTGCAGATATGGGAACAAGATAAGCTAGAAATGCATCGGCTGGTGATGCAGAACAAGGATCTTGAGAGAAAGGTGAGAAATATAGATAGAGATGACCAGAAGCTGCAGAAGCAAATTCAGGCATTAGAGAGGAAGATGGTTCTGGCATCTGGGGAAGGTAAGGGTATCTCAGTTTCTGAAAACATCATATATCAGAGTAACAAAAGCAGTAGTCTACAAGCTAGTTTGCAGCGCATTTTTGAGGCCATGGAGAGATTTACTGATGAATCTGTGAAAGCTTATGAGGAGTTGCTTCAACGGAGTGAAGAAGTAAGTGCTGCTCGAGATCAGGAAAGAGTTTCATAGGTTGGTGTAGTTTGATGGAAGTTGGAATTATATCTTTTCGATTTGCCAAGAATCACTTGTTGATCTCCTGCAACTTGCCAAGAATTTTGGGAGGAGGGGTTGGGTTTGACTTCTCATCTCATCTGGTATATTTTGAAGAAAGAGTCTAGCAAAGATCTTCCTCTACACTAAGCCGCATTTGGTACTTTAGATGCTGGCATGGGACTGTAGAGTTTCTTGTTAGACAAGAGAGATATATTTTGGGGTTCCGAAGTGTGAGGCCTGAGGCGTACAATTGCTTTTTGGGTACTCAGCACTATAAAGCTACAAGGAAGTTGTGCTGATATATTGGTTTGAGCTACTAAAAGACAGAGGAGCCGACAAATTTAACACCTAAATGATCCTTCTTTCTGCATTAGAAAATAAAAATACATATTTAGATGAAGGACGGAAATTAAGGTACTTAACCCAGCAAGTCTGGTGAAGTTCTGATGATAGAAGGGTGCTCAAACTGAAGCAGTATCATGAGCATACAAATGGGAAATTTTTTATGATGAGCATTGGAAGGAGTCTCTCTCGCATGATAAACATAGCTGTCTGTCGGAGTGACGTAAGTCACTGAATGCGTGGGTATTATTAGTTCCTGTATAAAATTATGTTCCCTCCATGAAAATATTCGTTTTTTTTTTAGTTTAATTATTGTACAGATTACCTGTTGACACTGAGCAAGCTCAAAGCATTTTGAATGAAATATCTTTTCGATAAGCTATTTGGGATTTCTGTTCCTCTTTTGTAGTGGTTGTGATCTGTTCAAAGATTGAATAGAGAACTACACTGCTTAATGTAAGAATGTTAGGTTCCAACAAGCAACCAATGTGATGATAACATGGATTCGGTATGTGCGCTACATCCAACAGCAACTCTCATATGACTGGTCACGTAAATTTTTTGTATTTATTTCTCGCTTCGGTAACGATAATTGAATCTCATTTGTTTAATATTTGTGAAGAGATAGATAGACATAAAATTTTTTATATAATCAAATCATGTAAAATTATAATATGAGAAAAATTTAGATCTTGCTTAAATGAGTTTTTTTCTTTTCCAAAAACTGTTTTTTGGGAGAAATAAAAAAGCATTTTTCGTTACAAAATTTATTTGGATGTCTATTTTTTTTTAAAAAAAAACAAAAGACATAAAAAGCTAAAAATCTATTTTCTTAAGTTAAAAATTTTAACTTCTAAAAAAAGCAAAAGCGAAATATTTTTTTTTTAAAAACTAAATACTTTTAAATTTTGTAAAAGACATTTCTAAAATAAGCAAGGGATAATAATTTTTTCTTTTATAGACTCATCTAAACAGACCCTTACTCCCACCCAAATTAGTTTCCCTATATCTATGGATCAACACTTGCCTTGTAAGGAAAATTTGTTTTCGGTGCATTAGAAGTATCAAGTCCTACTCATTTTTCCTAAATGGGAAAATTCTCTTCCATTTAAAATAAACTTTTAATTTGTATTTTTATTTAAGTCCCGAAGACTCTTTCTTTTTGGATATGATGAGCCTGTTTGGATCCTCTTATTTTTAAGCTAGAAGGTACTTATAAAAAAAAGAGTTTAAAAAAATAAGTTAAAAGCTGTTTGAAAATTACATAAAAAATTTAACTTAAAAATTATTTAAAAGCACATATTTCAAGAAAATTATCTCTCTCTATCTTTATCACTCTTCATTTTGAAAAAAAGCTCACAATTCAAAAAAGACAGATAAGAGCTTAAAAAAAGCTCCTCTCAGGAGCTTTTAGTTTTTAGCATTTTTCTTCATTATAAAAAAAGAACTTTTCGTTATAAGAGTTTTTTCTAAAACCTATTTGGCCTAATTTATGCTTATAAACAGCTTCTAACTTAAAAAAAAAAAAGATCCAAACAGGCACGATATAAGTACATATGTGCTACCAAAGATTTGTTCCCTTGCAAGAACAACGTTAAAATCTACATGTCTTGTCCAGTCACTTATGAATGTTTTGAAGTAAATATATATTAAAAAATTGTAATTTTAAAATTAGTTAATTAATATTTTTGTATGATCAAAAAATATTTTTAAATAAGCATTGAAATAGTGAAAATGGTTAATATGATTAATTTTAGTAATAACGAATTAAACATAATATAATGTGGGATGCAAGATGAAACTTAATGAATTGACGGATTGATCCAATTGTGCATATGTCTCACTCCTCAACGAGACTAAGAGCATGTTTGGTACATAATATATGATAAAATTCGAATGATGGAATAATATTTTATATTATATGAAATTAAAATGACAATCATTTGGTATTCGAAAATAATTAGTATGATCAAGATTTGACTCCTATCTATATAGGCTGCTCTGCGCGACAATAAAATAAAAGAAAATGACTTTTTATCAAAAAAATAAAAATAAAAAAATAAAATGACTAGAGTTGTGGTGAAAATTAACAAGAATTATGAACGTGTAAATATATCATTTAATACATAATTTATTAATTCTATCCTCATTTTACTACAATGTCTCGCTCATTTTTATTCCAACAAATCAAATATAACCTACCACCTAAACTAATAGCATGTCTGGTTTATAGTTTGGTTGAGTTTTCACCCACAAGTAATATTTTGGGAAAACCATGGTTGGGTTGCGTTTAAACATTGAAACATGGGTCCTCAACTCTCTAATTATGGTTTGAGTAAAAATGGAAAATAGGTTGCTTTTGTGTTAAATAATTTACAAATTAGAGTCCAAAAATTGCTATTTAACTGGGAATAATTAAGAAGAGTTGTGGCTAGTGAAAAATGAATAGTGGAGGACTTGAAGAAACCCTTTTCCTACTCTCGTACTAAGAGGTGATGTAGATAATCAAAGCTATTCCCTGGAATTCCCTCACTCGTTGATGGAGTTGCGCAAGTTCCTCGAATGTTGGCAGAAATAGTACGAGTTGAACAAGAAGCAATTAAAGACACAGTTCTCTGAAGATGAGCACATTACTCCAATCTTGTTATGTCCTTTCGTAAACAGGTTCATGAAAATCGACTTAACAGTCACAATTTAAAATTATTGAATATTGCAAGTTATTGGATTACTGGTCCAGTTACAACATGTTGATTTTTAGATGCTTCAGATTTATCGAATATTTGCAAAAACAGTTCATGATCTGCAAGCAAGACAATTCAGCCACCTAGTTTTATTCGCTCTATTTTTTTTTCCATGATATGGATCATTTCATGTTAAAAATTCATATGATCATGTGAAATTCTTATGTCTAATTTTCTCTTCTTCACATGTATTAAATAAGTGTAATCCAATTATTATTAATAAAGAAAGAGATCTACACATAAATTTCACATGACCAAATAATGTGAAATTTTAACACAGAGGAGAACTATTCTTATTTTTTCATGCGCTTTTATAGGGTTGTTACATGTAAAAATTATTTAGTGTAGATACTTAAATAGTTCTTAATCAACTGACTATTTTAGAGATTATTCCTCACTTGTTTAAATTTTTTTAATTTAAATTTTACTTTAAAAAAAAGCAAAAAAAAAAAGACAGCAAATTTGAATATAACCTTGGTGTTGATAGAAAAGAAAAACGAATTTCTATGCTCTAGCCTCTAAGAAAAATGTTTTTCTCAAAAGACAGAGACATGATTAAGGTAGACATAAATCTTTGGAAAGATACCAAATAGTTCGGCAGAACTTTTACAATCGCAAATGCTTTTAATATAATAAAGTTTAAAGGTCGCATATATTCACTCCAGTTCTACTCCACAAAAAGCCAGTACCCCACTCCGTTGAACAAAATGCCACATTTGGGTATTTATAAATTGTAATCTAACTTTTGTGTACGTGCTCACCAGCGAGCTATTTTTAATTTAATTATGAAGTGTGTATGAGATTAACTCTGCATTTTGTATTCCTATAATATAAGAAAGTGCATATGTGTTTTATCGGATGGTGATGGTCACTGATGGCTGCTAATCCATATGTCATCCTACTGAATTGAATTATTCCGATATGATATGTTCTCTTATATTTTTTTACTACAGCTATTCACACACACTCTAATATCGGAATCATCTATGTCATTCTTTTTTTTTTGTACTATTCTCACACATTTTAATATTATTTTACATATTTACATTTTTTGTCTGATTACACTTCGATTGTACTATTTTACATATTCCCCCAATGAAATTACATGACAATACTTGGGTTGGCAGGTTGTCATTTAACAAAAGGTGACATATTGCAATTTGCACAAAATGGGATGGATTATTATTGAATTTGGATAGAGAATATTTGTTTGCTGGCATGGTTACGTGTGTGTGTGTGTATATATATATATATATATATATATATATATATATATATATATATATATATATGAATGAAATTTACAAAAATTGATCAAAATAGTAAGAAAATTGGGCAATGTCTCATAGGATTCTATATTTGTCAAAAAAACATAAGATGTGGAAAGGAAAGAGAAAATTATCTTTCACGGCAACTTCTTACCTAAGCAGCACCAAATTTGTGACACGCGAACTCTTTTTATAAGACCTAGGAAAGAAATAAAAAAGAAAAGACGTTGACTTGGTTAGAATAGAACATGCATCCTTTAGTTTCGCCTTAAAAATATTGCTGTAAGGCAGCACATGTGATATGTGGTTGTCAAATTAACGGAGAAAACATTTTCCACGATGTGAGCAAGTCTTAAAATGCACACTTGCTTGCTCTAATTAAGCAACTTGATTGGATCTATCTGCACAGAAGCTTCTCCACGATGACCGACGAAGTCCGTAAAACATTTTCCATAACTTAAATTTAAGTTTGATACCAAAAAATTAAAAAATAAAAAGGTTCAATTAATCAAATTAAGTAACATAGGCGATTATAGTTAAAGAAGTTTGGCAGGAAGGAAATGATAAAGGTGAAAATGGATAAGATGGTAAAAACGAAGGAACCGTATGAAAATTAGAATATTTAATTAGTTATTAATTACAGTGAGTGCAAGTTCCAACTGGTAATCCTAATAAGTAAATAGTGACTGGTAATTAACAAACAGGGAGAACGATAAAGGAAGAGAATGAATGAATAGAATAATAACATAAAGCAATCAAAATCAAAATTTCATGATCTGTGAGAGAGAGAGAGAGAGAGAGAGAATTAAACCATGGGAAATTGTTGTTGCCAATCATCGTTGTTGTTCGGAGTAGGCGAGAGAGAAACTCACCCGGAAAAGGAAAATCAGCAACCCTACCGCAACCACAATCACAACGCTATCTTCTCTCAGAGTCAGAGTCAGAGTCAGAGAGAGACTATGACTGTTTCTGTGTCTGTGTCTGTAGCTGATGATCCTTCATCGTTCTCGGAGTTCTCCTTGGCAGACCTGAAAGCCGCGACAAATAATTTCAGCTCGGAGTTTATCGTTTCGGAGAGTGGAGAAAAAGCACCGAACGTGGTTTACAAGGGTCGGCTCCAGAACACGAACCAGAACCCGAACCAGAATCGCCGTTGGATTGCTGTGAAGAAGTTCAGCAAAGCTGCTTGGCCCGATCCGAAGCAATTCGTGGAAGAAGCTTCTGGCGTTGGGAAATTGCGGCATCCGAGGCTCGCTAATTTGATCGGTTACTGTTGCGATGGCGATGAGAGGCTTCTCGTTGCTGAGTATATGCCTAACGACACTCTCGCCAAGCATCTCTTCCACTGTATGTTTTTTCTGTTTCAATTCATATCTTCTACAACTGTTATTGTTTTGCTTAATTGTTTTCGATTCAGGGGAAAATCAGACAATTGAGTGGGCCATGCGCTTAAGAGTTGCTCTTTATATTGCACAAGCTTTACATTATTGCAGTTCTGAGGGTCGTCCATTATATCATGACTTGAATGCTTATAGGGTTCTTTTCGATGAGGTAACGCTCACACGTCCATTATTTCCTCTATATTCTATATTTCTTGCTCTTGTTTATAATTATTATATATCAAATCATGCGTTATTCAGGATGGTGATCCACGCCTCTCCTGCTTTGGTTTAATGAAAAACAGCAGGGATGGAAAAAGTTATAGCACGAATCTTGCTTATACGCCTCCTGAATATTTAAGAAATGGTAACTCCCTCCTCAACGTTTGCTTTTAATAACTGACAGATTATTACATTAAATAATCTTAGTTTGAATGGTTCCTTTATAATTATTTCAGGAAGGGTCACCCCTGAAAGTGTCATTTACAGCTTTGGAACTGTTCTTCTAGACCTCCTAAGTGGCAAGCACATCCCTCCAAGTCATGTAACTCCCTTCTATGTGCTTTTCTCCTTTGTTTCCCTAACTAGTTTAACTGTTTTTGTTATTATTAACTATCTCGACTGACACCTTCTACCTAAAATGCGTGTTCACAAATAAATAAATATCAAATACTAGTTTTCCCTGTATTGACTTAGGATGGAATACTTTCCCTGGATTTAACTGCAATCAATTGATGGGATTAATATACATAGAATGAAAAAATTCTGGTTTTTCATTTTTCTACTTTATTTTGAATTTGAGTGGCACATTCTCTCATTAAGCCTGCTTAAATCAACTTGCCATTTTCACCACTCTTTTGATAATAGTGAGTGGCTTGCTGTCACAGTATCTGAGTTTGACATTAATGCATTTTCCTTACTCAGACTTGTTCAGTGAGTGTTTTTTTTTGGGTGCCATATGGAGTTATCTGATTCTGTTTGCAGGCACTTGATATGATACAGGGAAAAAACAACATGCTGTTAATGGATTCACATTTGGAGGGGAAGTTTTCTACTGAAGAAGCAACAGTAGTAGTTAGTCTTGCCTCTAAATGTTTGCAATATGAACCGCGGGAGCGGCCTGATACAAAGGATTTGGTCACAACACTTGCTCCATTGCATACAAAACCTGATGTACGGATCTCTTCTTTAACTAATAGATGGAACAAATTATTTACTAAATCCAGAGATTGAAACGTTGTTGCTTGAACAGCCTTGCCTAATAACCCATTATCTCCTAAATAAGCCTTTATGTGGGATGTTAAAGTTCTTTAATGTCTAATATTCGAGTTCTATGACTTGCAACATTAAATGTTTGTTTCTTTGATTGCTTATTGTGAAATGGAATCTACTTGGTTTGGGTCCCTTAGCTCATTATCCTTGAATTGCATAAAACCTGGTAACCCAGGTCTTAGGCTGGGACATTTTAAATTGTTTTTGGTGAAAATGTAGTTGAACCTGGGCTATCTGCATGAGTTCATTTTGACTCTGATTAGAGTTTCTTTAGGGCATGAACTTTTCCGCTTACTTGAAGTTATATAATATGACAAAGGTTTTTGTATAACATAGGTTGCACTTGTCTGATATGTTAAAGTTCTCAAACAGCCCAAGTAATTGGTGTATGGTTCTAGCTGACTTCTTGTGAAGTCTACTTAGCAAAAAATTAGTCATCTTTACTGGCTCAGCACTTGTTTCGGAGTTATATGAATAAGCTTCATTCACACAAAAAGTAAAATCTTGTATGTACTTCTGTTAGTTTATTACCTTTAAAGGCCCAAAGAAAAATTTGTTATTTTTCCTGATAATTGTGAGCTATAAAGGATGTCAAGGTACTCATTAATGCTGAACTCCAATATCATGTATTTTGAATAAAATTGTTACGGACCTTGAGGTCACTATCCCAAAGACTTTATAAACCCCACATTAGTTATATAGGCAACCAATGTGGGACATGTAACATTGCCACCCCTTTAAGGGCTGATGTCCATGGCGGCTTTCACTATATCAACACTGACCCGATGGTAGCCCTTTCCCTTTTGGTGGCTGCACTCACCTATCAATATTCAGTACAACACCCCTTTGGGAGGCATGACACCTTAATCCAGCCTATAGGTTGCCCTTTCCGTGGCCTCAACTCTCAATAAAAGCACCAATTGATAGGATAAAAACCTCTCCTATCAGTATAGAGAGGGTGAACTGTATTAACTCTAAAAAAGAACGGGAATACAAGAAAATGCAGAAAAAAATAAAAAAAAAGAGCACGAGTGCTCCCTGCTATGGAGAATGCTCTCCAAGCCCTTCTACCCCTGTAGAAAAAACAAACGTAATTCACGCCCCCTTCCTAATGGTTACCCTATTCCACTATAAAGCAACGCAATAACAAATTACACCCAATTCTCTCTCCACAACTGCCAATGCAAGACAACATAACCATAACCACCTATTACATGTCACTCACTCTCCCTTCCTTATTCTTATTCCTCTTCTGATAGATTAATACTGGGCCTGCCCATCTCTTCTGTTTGGGCTGTAAATCTGCATCAGGGCCTGCTGCTTTGGGTTCTGATTCTGCTACTGCATCAACATTCCTATCAGCCCATTCTTGTATTTCTTCTGTATTTTGAAATTTTATACTCTTGTGCAACTAAAACTCAGCTGAGAATATCTTGTCAATTAAAGTACATGAATGAGAAATAAAATTGACAAATCTCATAATACGTATATATTTATAAAAGAAATATTGATATGTCATCTTTTTTGTAGTTAACAAGCGTATTGATATGTAATATTTTCCTAAAACATTGGGATAAAGGTGTTGTTGATGTTGATGTTGATAGGCATATGTATGACCTGCGAGAAACCTGTTCTTTGCACATACCTTGCCAATAAGGAGTTTAGTCCAGATATTTTATCTATAGTCAGTATGCAAAATTTCATTAAACGTTACTTCAATTCATATTTTCCAAGCATTTTAAATATGAAGATATAATTTTATCTGCTAATTATTTATGTAGAGAGTAGAGACTGTATAATGTATTGCCTTTATATATTCAGTTGGACAAGTATTGACCCAGTTGTTAGACTCATGATTCCAAACTCTAAGCTTATGTCTTACACCTGGTTGAATGGCTGATGACTAAGCCAGTGCTATATTTTAAAAGCCTTTGGCTGCCATCTGACTTTGATGAGGCCAGTATTACTTTAAAGTTTGCATTTATTTGCAAGTTGAAAAGTCTCAAGCCAATGCATATAAGATATATGATTTCCATGCATGTACATTGAGGGCTTTGGTCTTTAAATTGTCATTGGATAAAATTTATTTATCCATTTATAAATTTTAACTTTGGATTCATGCATATCTTACAAGAAAATGTTCATTTAAGCAGTATGATAGTGCAATTGCTAAGCTAATTTATACATTGTTGGATGCGGCTAAACAAAGTTCTTCCATGCTAAGCCACTAGGATTGGTCTAGTGGTGAGGAGTTTGGGTAGGCTGTACTAGGTTATGTGTTCAATTCCCACTTGCATAAAAAAAAAAAAAAAAGTTCTTCCGTGCTTTTTGTATACTATTTTCAATTGTCATGCATGAAACTATATTTTCTTCCCTTCCTTAGCGTATGTTTCTCAGTTTAGACCAGGGATCACATGTGTATATTGAGCTATGGCAATGCAAGTATCCTATCTCACTTGATATGGAAACATATCTTTTTTAAATGGCAATTTTGGTGGATAAAAGGGATCAAAACAACAACACTTCTAGCTTATTTTTGTTATGTGTGCTTCAGGTTCGTTCTCACATCATGCTTGGAATTCCAAAGCACGAGGAAGCTCCATCAACCCCACAACGACCTCTTTCAGCAATGGGTGAGGCTTGTTCAAGAATGGACCTCACAGCAATACACCAGATCTTGGTCGCAGCACACTACAGAGATGATGAAGGAACTAATGAGGTAACTGATAGGTTCCGTCTTTTTAAACTTTACAACTTCTAGTTGGATGCTATGCTATGAGGTTTGAATTTGGATTGGTTCAGTTGTCGTTCCAGGAGTGGACTCAGCAGATGAGAGATATGCTGGAGGCAAGGAAGCGTGGAGACTATGCATTCCGTGACAAGGATTTTAAGACAGCCATTGATAACTATTCCCAGGTGCAATTCAGCACTTGTTTGACATTATAATTGATTGTAGCTTAGCTATGTGCATGTTGGTTATTTTTGAGATGCTTCCGCTTTGTGTTATTTGTGCAGTTTATTGATGTGGGAACAATGGTCTCCCCCACCGTTTTTGCAAGGCGCAGTCTATGCTATCTGTTATGTGATCAACCAGATCCTGCGCTACGAGATGCAATGCAAGCACAATGCGTTTATCCAGACTGGCCCACGGCTTTCTACATGCAATCAGTAGCTCTTGCAAAGCTGGACATGCACAAGGATGCTGCTGATATGTTAAATGAGGCAGCAGCATTGGAAGAGAAGAGGCAAAAAGGAGCGAGAGGCTCATAGTTGTATGCATTGTGCAAATTTGAGGGTGCCAAGTTCTTGTATAAAGGTTGAGCTGGGAAGCAAAAACTAACGTTTAAATCTGAACTAAAAATGTGTCAGAGAAATACAACACTGGGGGAGTAGATAGCACTTGCACGTTGTTTCACCTATTTATAGGAATCGGTCATAACTTGAAAACTGTGCTTATGCACTCTAAATTGGGAAGGAATACCGGTGATTTTTCCTTTGTTAATGAAATTGATTGTTTGATGCATACTTTGTTACTATCAACCAGGTGTTGATTCAGGTTATTCTATCGCCTGACTAGTCAAGGCGATGATGTTCATAACATTATATTATACCTGCATCATCTACATGGATAATATTTATACATATGCAACCTCTCTTAAGTCTTTGATTAATCATATTATTTTTTTTTGAAATATATATTTCGTTTTTTTTTTTTCTTGATTGACAGAATCTATAATAAATTGCACTGGCATGAAGTATACATTTCGTTTATTTTTATCACTCACACGACATACTTATTATATATTATCTGTGACAATGGAAGGTGGCATTTTCTTCACTTGATGCATATACACTCATCCATTCGACAGAAAAGAAAAAGGCAATGGCTATGATTGCCCGAAATACAAGAAGTAATTATGATAAATGTCAGTTCTTACTCAAGTGTTAATCCAAACCTAACACTTATTTTCCAAACAATATTATTCATACTTTTTGATAGAATTGGTCTAAAATAAGTAAACAAAAAAAGAGATAAATTCTTAAGGGGCCTTATAAGGTAAAATTAAAAGTTATTCAGCTCTATCTATATATTAACCCCAGAGAGCTGGACAAAGGAGATTCGAATTTTCTCATATTGGGCCCTTTTTTTTGGGCTCAGTATAAGAAGACCATTTTGATACTAGGAAAAACGACAATAACGATTTGAATGTTGATTTAAAATGCAATTTTTTTTAGATATTATTGATTATTCAATTAGTATGATTCAGGCCGGTAGAACCACATAGATAGTAAAGCTCTACCTATTAAATTTTAACACAACTGCGTTTTTAGTTATCTCTTTTTCTCTTATTAACTGCTAACCAAATCCAAATATAGGGATTTTGCTATTCGGTTATAGGATGGCTGTTCAACATCAACTGTTAGATTCAGGAACTTAATTGGAGGAATATTTGGGAATGGGATTTCCAATTCACAACCAGTGACGGAAGAGTGTGTAAACATTAATAATGAAATTTCATGGTACAGTTTATAAATTTGAACTGAGGTTTTCGGTCTTTGTTCAAAACAACTAAATGTAGTTATGTGAAATTGAAAAGGGAAACTGTTACCAGTTACCAGACAACTAACAAAGTATCACCATTCACCACCAATGCTTCTCTACGACGCGAATAAATCTTTGGTGCTACTGTTGCACTAAGATTCAGTGCATCCCACCAATGAAAGTATTACATATTATAAGAGAGAGAAAAAATTTAACAGAGAAAAGAAAACTTTAACTGACATGTAATATTTCTATTGATGAGATGTACTGAATCTTTAGTGCAACAGTAGCACTAAAGATTTATTCGTATGTCGCGTCGCACTGTGTCTGATCCACGTAAGCAACGCAGATTTAGTGTGTTTGATGGTGTTAGGAGAAACATAAATAAAAGATTGAGTTATAAGATAATTTTATTGTTAATTATTCAATAATTAATACATAAAACTCTAAAATTTTGTATTTTTTTTGGTATCCTAAATAAAATTTTGTATTATTTCTTGTTTAATTGGCATAAAAATTTATAGAATAAGGCAATATATATTATAATACTCTTCAAGTTACATATTATTTTGCATCTAGTAAAGTTAAAAAGAATAAAAGGTAAATGTTATCATTTTTTTCTCTTTTTTATTATGAATGAAATTTATAATTCTATTTAGTAGATACAAATATATAGAATTTTATATTATTTCTAGACTACTTTTATCTAATATTTATATTATTTAAAAAATAAAATAAAGTAAAAAATTTATATTATGTTATTATTTTTAAACAAATTAAACAGTTATTAGTTCAGGCCATTTCTGCTTCTGCAGCTAAACATCTTATCTTTTCTTCTCAGTACTTAGCTTTTGCTGTAACAATTTGATCATCAACATGTACGAAATGTGTCATCCGATATAATATCATTATTGTATTACATATCGTGTCATAAATATTTAACTATTTTACTTTCTGAATATATACAAATAATTTATTTAATATTTTTTTTTTTTCATTTTTACACATAATTCTATCATTGAGTAACTTATACCTGATACCACTGAGTTTGAGATATTATATAATTAAGTTATTTTAGCTACATTGGTTATATTAATCTAGTAGTAGTGTGATGATATATTGAGAAAGGATCAACTTACAATATTATAAATTTATTTTTTATAATAGTGAGCAGTAAATAGAATGAAATGGTGAATAATATAAGTTCGAAAGTCTAATATGGAAAGCATAAATTTTGTGGTGCGCATGCAAATAGTGTTGAGATATTCAAGTGTGATGAGTTTCACATTGATTGATAAGTGAAAAATATATAAATGAAAGGATTCATGAATCCAGTATCTTAAGATTTTGAATTGAAATGTGACGTCGGATTCACTTGATATAATGATATAATTTAACCCATTAATGTGCCGGACCTGCCTCACAAATAGTGAATAGTGGTTGGGTTGTATAAAAAAAAAAAAATAGTGGTTAGGTATTAATGGAATGGTCGAGGTCCCACAGCGGACACTTGATTGCATGATAAACACGTGCATTTACCATTTGGCCGTGATTTCTTCTCAAAAAGTAGGTATAAATTGGAAAATAATAAGAAAGTGAAATTCGCTTTTGTTGGTCCTGGTGGCATATGCATTTATATAAGCTTTGCCAATTCACTTTTCGGGCAAATTTCCACTAGGAAGTAGAAGTAGTCAAGTAAGCGCAGCACAAACAACTCCATAGCCTTATTGTTACAGATACCACTTTAATTAATCACCTCATACCCCACTTCCGAATCTTACTAATGCCTTGCTGCTATTGGCTTTAAAGTGCACATGGATCTCGCACTATCTTCAGACATACATAACCTCCTCATTTCGTTGTTGTACCTCCTTGACCTATAATCATGATTCTTGTCAAACAAGTACATCTTGGTTTTGTTTATCTTGTATAAAAGTAGGGTTTTATTAATCTCATGTTGTAGGAGATAAGTTATTTCATGTTATATAGATAAACTTATGAGCTTCACCAGCCGAAAAAAAAAAAAACAGGTGACACAGTTATCGAAAGATGTGTATGAAAGAAATTTGTCACATGTAACATAAGAGTAGTTTTGCTCATAAAAGTATTGTGACCTACATTTGAATGAAACGTGTGATTGTATCTATGGAATTTTTTTCGGTAGATAATCTCTATTGAAATTTTATTTGTTGATAGAAATTGCACAAAAGCTGCATCTTTTTAACTTAGTTGCAAATTGTTATTTTATAATTATTTTTTCTTAGAAAAGTTTTTTATTTCTTCAATCCTCTCTAGTATCATTTTTGGGAAGAATTTGAAACATTAATTCTGACTCGTCTTGTATAGGATTGTCTCTCTTAGAAAATATTTGTGATTTATCAAAAAAAGAAAAATAATTGCACAAAAAGCTATATCTTTTTAATTAATTTGCAAAGTGTTATTATATAATTACTTTTCTCAGAAAAGTTTTTTCTTTATCTAGAAAGTTTTAAATATCATAAAAAGTCCAAGTATTACGCGGATGTATAAATTAAAGAGAAAAGAGACTACAATTTTTTAATGTTTACAGTTTACATTGATGCCTAACCTTGTCTAGTTGTTTCCTTGACGCGGATATTGAAGTTGCGTGTAGAACAATAAAATGGATAATGATTGGAGGCAAGTGGTTTCATGTTACGTGATATTACGCTCAGAAATGCATATCTTTCGTAGATATCGCATTACTTTGCAAGCATATATATTATTATTTTTTCTTTGGATAACACAGCGGAAACGAAAAACAGCATATATATATATATATATATATATATATATATATATATATATATATATATATATATATATATATATATATATATATGCAGGATTCTTTATACATCGGTGTCAAATTTAAAATTTGACATCTCATTTGAGCCGTTAGATCAAAAAAGATGGTGTCACATGCTTACAAATCAGAGCCGTTGATCCTTTTTGATCTAATGGCTCTCAGATGAGGTGTCAAATTTCAAATTTGACACTAGTGTCAAATGATCCTACCTATATATATATATATATATATATATATATATATATATATATATATATGGAAAAATATTTTCTCCTTTCAAAATAGAAAATTTTTCTTATGTTAGTGACTCGTAGCATAAGTGGGTCCCACTTTGAATTTGTTTTTTCTCTTCACTATTTTGTGGGCCCCACTTATATTATGAGTCACTAACATGAGAAAAATTCTCCTTTAAAAGGAGAAAATATTTTCTCATATATATATATATATATATATGAGATTTGCATTTGTCATTTAACATGACACAACAAATTTTCCTACACACACAACTTTTTTTTTGTGGCCCACATTTTTTGAAGAAAAAAAAAAAAAAGGAAATTACGACACGCAAAACAAATATTTATAACATTACACAATCACTTTTCCTACAACATAACCCTTATAAAACCTTTTATATATATATATATATTAAGAATATAACATTATTGCATAATAATTCAAATTCTGATCATTTCTTTGAGGAGCATATGAACCCATGTGGAATTCTAGAGTAACTTCAGCTAGACTTGGGAAATATTGAAACTCCAATGACAAATTTGTGATTGGCTGTTAAGGTCGAGAATATGGTTGGTTGTTTCGCTATTCACTTAATTATTCGTGGAAAAAGTATTTGTCATTTTAAATGATATAAAGTTATGTCATTTTAAGAGAGAGATAAACACAGAATAAATTTTTCTATTTAAATTTTAAATTAAAAACAACCACCACTATTTTTTTCTTATGATTTTTATTTTCTGTGTCTATCTCTCTCCTAAAATAACATAATTTATGTTATTTAAAACCACAAAATCAAATTCATTAATTATTGCCTTTCTATCATTCATTTATCACCACGTTGGACAATGGATCCCGCCTCCATCAATTATTAGTTGAAAGAATCAATATGGATGTGTTTGAAGTTTGAACCTTGAATAATTTGTGTAACCCGACACAAAAATAAAATAAAATGAGACCAACTCTTCTGCACATGAATTTCATTGGTATAAATCTTGGAAAAGAAATATATGTGCATAATTTCCAATAATTATATTTTGGAGAATAGATTTTATGTTTGAGAAAAAAAAAATTTGTGTGGTTAAACATGACGTACCAAATTGTTTGTGCAGAAAAATTATAGAAAGTAATATTAACCCACAAAAAACAAAAAATAGAAGGTGACAATTGCTTGTATACTTTTAAATTTGAGCTTCGAAAAAATTCCATTAACGTACTGCACAATTTTCACGGCTCTTTTGAGCAAAAAACAGTTTTTTACCCCTTTAATTTTCGTAGAAATCGATCACTGATCCAATTGGAGTACCTCTACAGGATAGACCTCAACAGAAAACTGAAGAGTAACGGCAGCAAGTGATTGAGTTCACTCCTGGTAGACATTTGATTCCTGGTATTTATTAATGGACCTTTTTTTAGTGTTGGGGGAAGTCTCGACAGAATTGAATGTCGTGACCTCTCCCTCCGATACTCACATAACTTCTTCTTTTTTTGGTAAGTGTCGCGACCTCCTCTACACTCACATGATTATGCCAAGTGGCACAGTCCCATTATCGTAAAATTTTGGAATATAGTAAATTTTGACTCATATATCCAAATTAAATATTTTTTTATTTCATGTAACTTTTCGAAATCTATCCAATGACATCTCACTTGGTATATTTTATCTTCCATAAATATAGTTCAAATTTGCAACAATAGTTCCACAATCATAAGAGCATTTAAATTCAAATTTTGGCGGGAAGAGGTAGAAACCATTGATTTGTTTAGCTTCCTCGATTTTCAAATCAGTTTTGTTGAGATTTTAATTAATTGAATTTCTGTCTATTAGAGTTGCAGCAGCACCTGTGCGAGACAATAATTAATTTAAAATAAAATTGTGAAGAAAAAGTGGAAGTAAAAATGGAGAACCCTAGCAATAGGGAAAAGAGGAACAAAGCAAGGATAAACGATAACATGTTGGCCATGTTTGATGCCTCTGAAGCTATGTTTGTGCCTTTGTAGTACCATTGTTACAAATTTGAACTATATTTGCGAGAGATAAAATACGTCAAATTAGGTGTCATTGCATAGATCTCGAAAAGTTATGCGAATTAAAAAATATATCTTTTTTGAATACTCGAGTCAAAAGTTATGATCTTCTGAAATTATACGGTAATGAGATTGTGCCACTTGGCACAATCATGTGAGTGTCGAAGGGGGTCACGACATTCACAAAAAAAAAAAAAGTTATGCAAACGCTGGGGGAGAGATCGTGACACTCAGTATCGCTGAAACTCTCTAGGATACTAAAAAACTCCATTTATAAATATCGAGAATCAAATATTAGATAAGAAAATTAAAAGGGTAAAAACTTCTATTCGGTTAAAGAGACCAATTTTTACATCCATATTACACTGAAGTGCAGAAATTTGACACATGCGTCATGTATTTATAAATCTCATGGTCATCTTAAAATAATTTAAAAAATATGATTTTCTTGAATAATTAAAAGAAAATTTTGATGATCAAATACAAGAGATTAGTTTCACACTACGCATGGGACATTATATTGTTAAAATTTTGCTTATGAATGCTTTCAAACACTGAAATACACAAAACAACGTTTGGATTTGTCACTCTGGGATAGTGGGGCCGTGGGGGTATCAGATTTTATTTGTAGACAGATTTCTTACGATGAGATATTTACAACCAAAACTCGTTTTTGGATACTAAAAATAAAGAAAAAGGAGAAAAAGACCTGGTCTGGTGTGAAATGGGCATCATCAATTTATCGTCAACCCCTTTTGTTTGTTTATTTTCCTCCACCGTGGAAAGAAGAGAAAATTCAACAATCAATGGCATTTCTCCTTAAATCCCACCTCACACATTAGTTATCTTTTTTAGCAGAAAAGAGGAATCATGGGGTAGCAATGTAACATGTACCCAATTCAATAAACCTTTTCAAGATACGTCCATATATATATATATATATAGTCCTTGCCTTTACATAAATCTTCTATATATTTAGTGTTTTGCTTAGAGTGCCTCTTAGCTTATCCGTCATTCTTTTGAGATTAGTTGTGAATATGAAGCACTTGAATAAGCAAAGAATCATTTTGGTTCCATATCCTGCACAGGGACATGTTGGTCCCATGCAAAAGCTAGCCTCTGCCTTTCTTAGCCACGGATTTGAGCCAGTAATTGTTCTACCCCAATACATTCACCATCAGATTTTGCTTCATGTTGATTACAAGGATGATGAGATAAAGTATGTAGCTGTGCCAGATGGTCTAGAAGAGGACACAGCCCCAGATTTCTTTGCCATTGAATCAGCCATGGAGAACAACATGCCAACTCACTTGGAAGACATGCTTCACAAACTTACAGAGGATGGTGAAGTTGTGTGTTTAGTGGTTGACTTGTTAGCATCTTGGGCCATAGAAGTGGCCAACAGGTTTGGCATCCCTATTGCTGGGTTTTGGCCTGCTATGCTTGCTACGTACCGCTTGATCTCAGCCATACCTGACTTGGTTCGGAGTGGTCTCATTTCTGATGCTGGTATAAATTTTCAGTACTTCTTCTCTAAAGAAAGTACACATAACTCGTTTAATTGCATTTATTTTTACCTATTTCTAATTGGGATTGATGATTTTTACTTATAAGAGATAATTTTTATCTCCTACACATATAAAAATATATATATGAGATTTATGTGGAGTCACGTAAAAAGAAAATAGATAAAATAAAAATTGAATCTCATATATAAAAAATTTATTTCCTATAACATAAAAAATATTAATTCCTTTCTAATTTTAGCAAAGAGAATGTGTAAACTTTTTTTTGCCAAATTGCTAAACTCAGTACACAAATAAGAATCATTCTTTTTTTGGGGAAAAAATATTACCTATTTATCTTCTTGAAAACAGATTCCGTTCTTTGAGCGTATGGCACCGTACATTTATTATCATAAGCAATCCACACAGTGATCTGAGACAGACAGTGAGTAACCATGTGGCATATATAAATGTCTTTATCATGTGACTGACAAAGGCATCCACAATAAATGCTGTTACCTTTGGCATTTACTTTGGTCTGTTGGTAAGTGTTATCCCGCAGAAAGATGCATGTGCGGTCGAGCTATATATCTCAGTCACTATTTTATTTTATTTTTTAATTTTAAAAATAAAAAAAATTATATTTCCAAATTTTTTATTTATAAATTCATACAAATTACATTATGTTTTTTCAGAAAAATACTAGGTTATACTTTTTAGGAAAAACATAGTATAATTCGAAAAAATTTATAATTTTTTTTTATAAATAGATCTTTCCCTTTAAAAATATATGAGTCAATACGTACTTATTTAAAAATATGAGTTCATAATATTTTGTGGCTTTATGTCGGTGTGTCCTTTTAGTGTAAACATTATTTATGAAGAGAAATTTTTAATTCAACCGACTCATGTTGACAATGGCAGCAACCAAGAAACAATGTCTGAAATTAGAGAATTCTTAAAGTCTTTTTAATGTGAGTGAAAAAGGGTCTACTTAGTAATGTAAAGAGTTTTGATTTACAATTAGCATTATCCATGTTTGTATACTATAGGCTCTTGCCAGTGGCTGAAGATATTATCTTTATGTATTGGCAGGACTTGCACAACATGAAGGAAAAATTTGCTTTGTACCAGAGATGCCCATAGTTTCAACTGAGGATCTACCATGGCTTATTGGAACAGTGGCTGCAAGGAAAGCAAGATTTAAATTTTGGATAAGAACATTGGAAAGATCAAGAACGCTTAAATGGCTCCTGGTGAATTCCTTTCCCGATGAAAGCAAACTTGAGCAGCAAACTCAATTGGCCAACATGTTATTACAAGGTTGTCCACGTGTGTTGCCGATAAGCCCAATTTGTAGGAATCAATTAACTAAAAATCTCAGTTTTTGGGAAGAAGATTTGAGTTGCTTGAAGTGGCTATCAAATCAGAAAGCTAACTCAGTTGTTTACATCTCATTCGGAAGTTGGGTCAGTCCAATTGGGGAAGCAAAGTTGAAAAGTCTAGCACTAGCACTTGAGGATTCAGGTAGGCCTTTTATTTGGGTTTTGAGGTCCACTTGGCGCCAAGGCTTACCCATTGGGTTTTTGGAAAGGGTTTTCAAGCAAGGCAAAGGCAGAGTCGTTTCTTGGGCACCACAAACGGAGATTTTGCAACATGAGTCTGTGGGTTGTTATGTCACACATTGTGGTTGGAATTCTACATTGGAGGCTTTACAATTCCAAAAGAGGTTGCTATGTTACCCAGTGGCAGGAGACCAGTTTGTGAACTGTGCCTATATTGTACAAGTATGGAGGGTAGGTTTAAAACTCAATGGGCTTGGACAAAAGGATGTTGAAGAAGGACTTACACGGGTGATGGAAGATAAGGAGATGGGCACACGGTTAATGAAATTATATGATAGAATCATGGGAATGCAGGGTGATAATAAGAGGGGAGCTTTCATGTTAAAAGCCTTTGTGGATGATCTCCAGAAGGCATCATCTACCATTCATAAGCATGCTACTTAAATCTTCATTACTCTTCTTTTTTTGTCTTGGACAATAGTTAAAAGTGTGCTAAATTGTACTTTGGTGTGTCATGAATCCATGAAATATCAAATCAATTGTCACGGTTGGCAATTTGTTTTGTTTTAGATAGAAACTACCAAGGCAAATGGAAAGATACAGAGTTTTGGTCACAATAGGCAACATGGCTTAGTTCGATTAACGCGATAAATGTGAGTTGACCAGGTTGATATTACATTCAAGTTTTTTTTTTTTTTTTTTTTTTTTTGGTATCCTACATTCAAGTTTATTTAGACACGAGATGGCTGTGGTGGGTTTAGTAAATACTAATTTGTTTTTCCTTTGTAGTTTCTCGTAGCATTTTTTGAAAATGCGTCGGGCTCCCTTAGAGGAGCTTATGATATAATCTATATTAAGTTGGATTTGACCTATTATAAATAGTTAAATAAAACAACTTAGACTTTTAAAAAATCTATTTAAAAAATAGGTCATAGTCTTTTTTGTACATATCGGTCCTATAAGTCTAAAAGTCGACTTATATTATATTATTTATTTTAAATAAAAATTATTTTAATAATTTTTAAAGAAAGTAATATTATTTTAATTTTTTATGTACAAGGTTTTTAAGGACAAACTTAATATAAAAAGAAGAAGGAAAAGATGTCTATCATTTTAAAGAATGTAAAGTTGTGTGAGAGAAAGAGCTATATAAAGGAGGGGAGAGAGTGGACAAAAAACTATAAAAGTATGAGTCTCACCTTTTTGTGAGAGTAAAATGACACAAATTGTGTTATTTTAAAAGACAAACATTTTTTTTTTTTGGTAATAAAAAGACAAACACTTTTTCTAAAGAAGAATGTAAAATTATTTATGTATATTTATCTAACATTTTAATTTTTTAGGATTGTTAATTCATAATTTATTATCCAAACTTTAATTAATTAGATGGTTTAAAATTTCATTTTTGATGTTTTCATTCTTCTAATAAAAAATTAAATTTCCACCTAAAATAATTAAAAATATGTGCATTTTCCGTAAAATGGTTAGTTTAGAGAGCGGCAAATAATAAATGATAGCATTAGCGTCCTTTCCGTGTTATTTATGGGGTGAAGTGAGAATAAGGCGGAAGATGAAATGAAAAAATAAAAATGAAGATGAAAACTAAAGATGATAACCACTACTGCTCAATTACGCCTTTATCATTAAATTCCATTTTCATTAATTCCAACATGCACAATTAGCAAGTGGCTTGCTCATCGAATATGTCATGAGTAATTCAATGAAGATGAAAGTTTAGAAGCATAAGAAAAGTTTTATGTGTTAGAAAATAAAAGTGTTTATCAAATGATGGTAGCAAGTGAGAATCAGAATATGTGTTAGATCATTTTTAATATTAATTTTAGAAGGGATTTAAAATCTTAATTTTGGATTTGCCCTGAATAAAATTATCTCTCATAAAAAATACAATACATATGGTGTGATTTATCGGAAATTTTTTTTGAAAGAGTTCAGTTAATTTCATATTAGTATAAAGGGTTATAAATTTCTCTTATTATATAAGAAACTTATTATAGCTCTTCTTCGGGGGAAAAAAATGGTGAGATCCACCAAATTTAAAGAAAAAAAAAAAAATTCTGATGGGACATTTTTTGTATTTGCAGGAGGGGATACAGCACAAACTCATTCCCCTACTATAAATTATTGGAAAACTTTAAAAATTTCTTTATGAATTTTTTTAATTATCACTTATTCTCTCACAATTTTTTTGAAACATTTACATTTTTATTCAGATTTTTTTGATCACTTATTTTTTTCACTTAAAGTTTCTTTATCACTTATCTTTCTCACTTGTGGAAGTAAATGATAAAAAAAAATTTAAATCAGAAAAGTAAATAATTTAAAATTTTGAGAAGGGAGTAAATGATGATGAGAAAAGTTATAATTTTTTTTTTTTGAAGTTTTCCTAAATTATTTTCTCCTAGCTTGGGCGAGGGCCAGTCCGCGAGTTGGAGCACGGCTCAGCTAATTATAAAAAAGAAAAAGAAAATTAGAATTTTCTGTTCAGAGAGTTGACCAAGAAAAGAAGAGAAAAACAGAGAGGCGTTGATGGTGGGTGTGGCGGAGTCGTGAGAGACAGAAGTTCTGTTCTGTTTTGAAATTGAGCGTATGATTGATTATTCATTCTTGTCTCTCTCTCTCTCTCTCCTTGAAATTTGAATTTCATGCCTATGATTATTGATTCATTTGCTATCTTTCTTAGCAATTTGTGCTGTTTTTTTTTTATTCACAGGCACAAGCATTTAAAATAGAGTGAAAATGGGGGTCCCAGTGAGACAAGTCATTAAGAACCTGGATGCGTTTCCTCGCACAGAAGATCATTTGATGCACAAAACTCAATCTGGGGCTCTTGGTAATACTCTCTTAATTTTGAAGGTTGAGATGTATGGTGTAATTCCTCATCCTTCTCTTTTTTGCAGTTTCACTATTCGGTATAATCATAATGGCCACATTGTTTCTGCATGAGCTCGGTTATTATCTTACAACTCACACATACCATCAGGTTTTCATTCTCTTTTATTTTCTCCATTTACAACTTAACAACTATGAATACCCCTCTTTATCCCATTCATGGGATTAACACCAAGCAAGATATTATCTTTGATTTTTTAATCAAAGAATACTTTGTTTTGTTCAATGTTAGCTTAGTCACTGATAGGTGTATGCTAGTCAGAAGAAATTCTATTTAAAATAAATAAATACTGAGAGGGAGAGGGATACATCAACTGCAGGGTACAAAACTTAAACTAACTTGACTTAATCTTGAACTGTTTCCCTTCAGTATACTAAACTACACTTCTTTCCTTTCTGAGTTTGATATTGTGGAATAAATGAAAAGGTTTAGATTGGGTTGTACAACCTCTTGTTTGTTCATGGTTTATGCCAATAATAAGAGTTTTATACTTTACAGATTCATGTAGGATATGCAAATAATTTTCGCTTATGCTCATCTTTATCAGATGTCAGTGGACTTGAAACGTGGAGAGACTCTTCCAATTCACATAAATATGACATTTCCTTCTTTACCTTGCGATGGTTAGCACTTTCCTTTCATGTGTTTGAAGTGACTACAAGTTTCTTGTTGGTTTCTGTCTTTATTTAGAATTTCTTTTCTCCGTTATAATGAAGATTCCAAACATTTGTTACTTGTCTCTGTGCAGTTTTGAGTGTAGATGCCATTGATATGTCAGGCAAGCATGAGGTGGATCTTGATACAAACATATGGAAAGTAAGTTTAATGTTAATCCAGAAAAAACATGTATTTTACTTATTTTGGTATGTTTTCTTATTTCTCGTTTTTCTGATACACGAGATAAACTTGGAATGGCATCATGATTATAAATATATGATTATAAAGAAGAAAATAAAATAAAAATAACTTATCCCCTATTGCTAGGAATCACCATTTCAACCCTCTAGAGGAGGGAATGCTGAGAGAGTGCAGCAATGGAGGAAAGAATTGAACCATCAAGTGCACCAAATGCGCAGTTATAATTTGGGTTTCAGCCTATGTTTTCTTTAATTAAACTAAACTTAAAGACGGACCTGGGAGGTCTGTTGAGCTAATTTGTTTGTTTTATACTCCTTTTTTCTGTTTTGTGGTTGTTTAGGTAAGTTTCTTTATCCTCCTTTCATGCGCCTCAATCTCTGAATAGTTTCTTCTTTTTTTCCCTATTTAAAAGAATATATGTGTGTTAAATGTGCATAGTTGGGCATTGTTTAGTAACCTTGAAATTTTGTTGAGTAAATTTGTCTTGCCACTTCTCATTGTTTTTACCTAATAATCTTTATCTGTTTATTATCATTCATTACACTAATGAATTTGTACGTGCTGCAGCTTCGTCTGAACAGTCATGGCTATATAGTTGGCTCTGAATACATATCTGACCTTGTTGAAAAGGAGCATGCTGCTCATAAGCATGGTAATATCTTGTTCCATTATGCATACAATTTCAAAACTCCAATTAAATATTGGAAAAATTGCATGTGATTGGGTTCAATTCAGTTTATTGCTTGTTAGGTTTTAAGGGAGAATTGATTAAGATGCTGATAATGTTGAATTTACAATGAGAATTAACTGAATATCACTGTTTTACTAAACTTCTATGCCAACCTGTCCTCTTTCCTCAGGGTCTAGTGATAGACCGAATCGTTCAGTTTTTCGGATAATAGAAAGGAAATAATAGGCTTCAGTTTCCATGGGCTGGAACAGTTATCAGTTAAATATGCAGTTGCACTTCAGTTTTTTTATGATTTTTTGGCAATGACTAATTTTTTGGTTGGGGATGGAGAAAATCCAAGAACGTTACCGACTCAAATTTTTTTGGTGGGGACACCAGTCCAATGACTATTGCTACTCATGCTAGTGCTTATAAGTTTATCTCTGAAGACTGAAGGGTATACTTTCCTCAGAACTATGCTTTCTTTAGGTTTAGATGTTTGGGTGATGGTTATCACATTAGGTTCTGCAAGCATGTTTGGGTAGGAAATGTCCCCTTGTTGGAGGCCTTTACTTTCCTTTATCATCTCTCCACCTTTGCTCACTGAAGGCTTTCTCTCTTCTCAAGGATCTCATTTATTGTGGGATTTTCACTTTCATAGAGACTTGAATGACAGTGAGGCTAGTGAACCAGACACCATACTGGTTTTACTTGATTCTATTCAATTCTCTACCAACTTGAATTGTACGGTTTGGACTTGAGACTCTTACGGAGTGTCTTCTTGTAAATCATTTTTCCAGTTTATAACCCATTCTCCTAGATCCTAATCAACATCCATTCCTTCTGGATGAACTGATTTGGAATTTCAAAGCTTCCCCGAAATCAAGTGCTTTGTGTGGAAATTGATTCTTTATATGAATGACTTGCTGCATATCCGAATGCCTCACACTGCTCTTTCTCCTGATATGAGTGTTATGTGTTGCTCTAGTTCAGAAACAATTGGCCACTTCTTGCACTGCAGGCGCCTACTGTCTTATGGAACAACTTGTTTTGGGTTTTTGAGGAGCATTGGGCGTGTCCTATGTAAGATCAATTTCTGTTGGTTAAGTATAAAGGCATTGCCAAAAAGGTGGAAAAAGTTGTGGCAATGTGCAGTTTATGCAATCCTTTGGTGCAACTGGTTAGATCAGAATGCTTGCCTATTTTATTGTTGTCTGTCTGCCTCTCAACCTTTTATGGGACAGGATTGTGTATATATTCTCTCCTTGGGGTTCTGCTATTGGTTGTTTCAAGTGAGTGGCCATTTCAAACATTTCTAGAGATTAAGCAGCTTTGTTGCATCTTTTTTTTTTTTTTTGTTCTATGTTGTTTTGGAGGATATCTTATCATTCTTTTACTTGTACTCTCTCCTTTCTTTCTAATAAAATTTCTATTACTAGAAAAAATATTTCAATAAATTGTATTTTTCTAAAATCTTATTGTAGATCAACTAGACATTGTTGTAAACGTTTCACACGACTTTAAGGTCATGTTTTGTCTTACACTTCATTTCTTCCAAAGTTATTTTCTTGTCACTTACACCCTTATAAAAACTGTGACCAGACGATGATAAGGATCATCATGAGGATTCAGAACAAAAGATTCATTTACAAACCTTTGATGAATCTTCTGAAAATATGATCAAGAAGGTGAAGCAAGCATTAGCAAATGGGGAAGGATGCCGGGTATAAATTCTAATATATATCGCAAATTTACTTTGCGATCTGTTTGTCAAACCTAGATAACTCTTAATATTTGATTTTATTCTCTTATAGGTTTATGGCGTTTTATATGTTCAAAGGGTTGCTGGAAATTTCCATATTTCAGTTCATGGACTAAATATATATGTTGCTCAAATGGTAAGATCTCTGTCTTTCATCATTAATCTCATCTCACCTCACCTAATGTTGTTTTTTAAAGTATACATATTGTAGTTTCTGGTAAAATATATGGTTGAGGGTATCTTTAATAGAATTAAAGGAGCTCCTAACTTCAACTAGAACAATCAACGCAATATGATGCAACTTTTAGTGGCTTCTATGGGATATTACTGTGTAAAATTTGCTTAATAGATTCTCATTTGAACTATTGGATTGTTAACCTAATTCAGTCTTTGATGGTTTTCGGTAGATTTTTGGAGGAGCAAAGAATGTGAATGTCAGTCACATTATCCATGATTTGTCATTCGGTCCCAAATATCCAGGGCTTCACAACCCACTTGATGATACACCAAGGATTTTGCATGATACAAGTGGATCGTTTAAATATTATATTAAGGTTTGATTATTGGCCTCTCTCTTGAATAATCTTTGAACCTGGTCTAGCTAAAGTACATTTGCCATGTTTCCTCCAGGCTCCTCTCTGATTGTTTACAGAATGCCAATGTACTTTTTTCTCATCTATTCCCATGCCTTAGATTGATTCTCCTCAAGTCACTTGTGCAACACTGTTAAATATGTTTCTGGTGTCCCATTTGTTTTAAGAAGCTATGGTCTTTTGCCTGCAAACAAAAATCAGGATTTGGAGTACATCTCGTTTTGTTTCAATTCAATTCTTCATATGTACATATTACAAGTCTGGCCAACAAACTGTCATAAGAAGAAAACTATTCTATCTTTATTCTGTTGTCAGAACTTTTATAATCTCTCTATTGAATATAGTACAGTAGAGTCAGTCGAATGTAAAGTAGCTCTGTGAAGCGAGAATTCATAATTAAGATTTCAAATCGTGGTTATTCAGTTATTCTGTTGTTTAGTTATTATTGCCTTGTGGGAATAGAAAATTGTCACGTCTAACCTTTACTAATTTTTCCCCATATATTACCAAAGGTCAATGTTATGAAGCCATTCCTCCTGCTTTAAAGCTTTAAAATTGCCCCAGTTCTCATGATGTTTATCGTAGGAACATGGTTTGATGCAGAAAGTAATGGCCAGTCATGATTTGATTCATCAAAATGGTTTTATCTTTATTATGTAATGCAATCAAACCCTACTTATGATGCCTATGGACAGTAGCAGCGAAGTCTAGCTTACACCTCTTCAGTTTAAAGCCTCTTTCATTTTTCTTTTCTTCACCAGCCACGATTAAAATCTTTCTTTTGAATACCTAATTTACCTTGCTTGAATATTCCAAAAGCCCATTAGCGCCTGAAGTTAGTATTGTGGGTACTGTCCATGACCCTTGATCAATTTAGTGATTGTCTTTGTTATTTTATTTAATTTATATCCTAAACCTCCACAATTCTCCAATTGTGATGCAGGTTGTTCCAACCGAATATAGATACATCTCAAAAGAAGTTTTACCAACGAATCAGTTCTCAGTTTCAGAGTATTTTTCGCCCATGATTGAGTTTGATCGGAACTGGCCAGGTTGGTTTTATACTTTTATGGTTGAAGTTGGCTTTGTTCTTTTAGTCCATATGTTATGATTATCATTTCCGATTTGTTTGATGTCTGCAGCTGTCTACTTTTTGTATGATCTGTCACCTATTACTGTCACAATCAAAGAAGAACGACGTAGTTTTCTTCATTTCATTACTCGGCTTTGTGCAGTGCTGGGTGGAACCTTTGCTCTAACAGGTTTTTGTCACAACTACACTAATTATGTACCATTTTGCCATGTCGATAGTGAATTGTCTTCTGAGGTGCTCTAGAAAAACAAAATAGTGAATGTTGAGAGATGGTTATTTTCTTTGTATGAAATTGTTAATTTGAAACATCAAAATACTTTATATCAGCGCATAATTTAGATAATTAAATCACATGGTTTGGCATTTTCAGCGAGAATTCAAGCTATTAGGACATAAAATTCCATAAAGTTGGTTTTCCGTAGCCCTTATGAATTAATGTTCTTCCTGCTGCAGTTTCTTTTTCCCTCTTGTTCACATTCATGTTGTAAAACTCATTTACATCAACAGGGATGCTAGACCGTTGGATGTACAGACTTCTGGAAGCTTTAACTAAACCTAAGTCTAGAAGTGGATTGCGGTAGATATCAAAGCCACGATGGTGTAATGGTTGAAATTAAGGATTCCTTTTTCAATTCTTTCACAGATTTGTGTTCCTATAATCCCTTGTATAACGGTACATTAATGCCTAACTGTTTATAGTTTTTCTTCTTTCGGAATGGGTGTTTTGGGGCTTGGTTTGACTACATTGCAGAGTATTTTCGTGGAATCCCCTTTGTAGAACTCAAATTTTGAATATTATGATCAGATAGATCGTCAGTTTCTCATAGTTTTACCCCATTTTTTCTGCCAATTTAATAAATTTTAACAGCAACTGATTACCCGAAATTCATGCACAATAAGAGACCTTAAACTGTAACATTTTTTTTTTCCTTATCATTTGGGAAGCGCGAGTAACATTTCCTGGCCATATGAAATTAATTTTTCCACTTCATATCACCAATCACTATTATCGTTCTCACAAATGGCTGGTACTAAAGGGTACTTTCACTGATAGGGTAGAATTAAGTTTACAGTATAGTTTGTCAGGAAAAGGAAAGAGAATATGAAAGTAACGTTTAACTGTATTTAACGGTGCATTCAAATACCTTGGTTCACACCAGTGAGTGTAAATCCTTGTATTTGTAGCATGGAAAATTAGGTAAAATAAATGAAGAGAACAAAATTCTGAATTAGTTGTTTAAACTGTTGTGGGAGGAGTAACTGTCATTGATGATGCTGTCCTTGATCTTCCTGCTCCTGTTGTTGTACATGGTCACGGCGCTGCTGCTCTGTCCTGTTAACATTCTCATTTGAAGATCGAATCTGCCTACTTGCTCTCCATCTAATATATTCCATGATGAGAGAATTCATACTGATTGCAATCCCAAATCCAGTGAATGAGGAAAGGAGAATGGAGAGAATTGCATTGAAATCAAGCTACAAAAGAAAAAGAGAAGTGTTGCGTGTGTTAAAAATATATATATATATATATATATACTTTCGTCTCACCCAGTCCCAAATATCTATCATTGGACTGAGGGGAAGTAACATGACAGGCACAAAATCAAGTTAGGACAGAAACTACATCATCTTACAATAGTATAAAATACATGAGCAAACATGATCAGAATTGCAAACTGGAAGCAAGCATAAGCCCACACGTAGCTCCTGCTCACTGCCACCAAAACACATTATGAGACTTTCACATTTATTAAACAATATTAATCAGTATCAGCTAACAAGTGCTGATGTTAATGAGACATTAATAATTCAGTATCATGTAGTCTACTTAGTGTCGGATTAGAGCAACTTCAATGAACGGGAAAATTACAGAATATGGGCCTTCTTCTAATCAAGTCTCACATCAGAAACACTTGAACAATGTCAACATTTGCTTTCTTTTATCATTTACCCATTTTATAAAACCCTAATGTAGTCCTTTCTTCTTTAATCCAAAAAAAAATAAAATAAAATAAAATAAAACCCTAATGTAACGCACCAAATCAGATGTTGATGTTAGAATTTTTTTATATTTTTTCCTATAAACTCACCAGACTTAACTGTATCCCCATTTGCCTATACCCAAACAAATCTGGTTCTGAGTCCAAGATTTACATTTTACTTACACATACCAATGTCCAGTACAGGGTAAAACAACGTGCATTAACTAATGACAACTTTGAACTGCAGCCAGCCACCCACTGTAGGACAACATCCAGGATGTTCTATAACATCTTATCATAAAACTTCTTCTATTTCCTTTCTTCACCGCATTCTATTTCAAATGATTAAAATATGCTTGAAAATGCTTATTCTTCCTTGAGAGTCAGAGACTTCGACTCAATACTCCTCAGTAATTAAGGTCATGACGAACGAGGGATATTTTAAGTAGAGAAATGAGGTGGACAGACCTTGTCACTTGTCTCAGTTCTTTTGGTTGTCAGGAAAGGTTACATAGTGTATGAGATTTACAGGTCTACTGAGGAAGAAGGACATACTACAAAAGAATTCCAGGTCAATGGAGGATAAAATAATTAGGATTTAGACGTTTATGATCTAAGTATTATCCTATTACAATACATTATGAGTCCAATAATTGTCAATTCTCAATATCGTTATCCTAATCTTTAACCATATCTTGCAAGTAATATTAACCTACTTTTATATTTTTAGAAAATTATACATGTATGCTGTTCATTTTTGTGTTTCATAGTAAAAATTACAACCAGCACAAAAATGAAATCAAAAGTGCAAATAAAGGGAACTAAGACAGATACAAAATGACTTCTTTGATATGAGAAGGCAGACAAAAGGAAACAAGTTTACCCATGGTTGACGCAATCATAGAGGAAAGGAAACCTAAAACGCAGGAGAAAGGTAATGCAATGGCAATAGCACGAGGACCCAAATCTGAAACCTGGTAAACTAGAAATCATTGAGTCAGACATACTGTCATTTCATACAAAACAGTTAAAAAGATGACAACGGAAAATAAAAGCCAGAAAAGAAAAAAGTAAGCATATACAGCATTAACCAAGAGCTCTCCATATAAACAGTATCACTAAATATATCCTAGTAAGTACTAAATAGGCAAAGAAACAGTATCTCCTTTTTGTCACCGGAATACAATCAGGTACAAAAATTATTCCATGAAATGATTATTTACTGAGTGACTTGAACAAAATAGTAACATCGTAAATAATAAAATACAAAGAAAGTCACTTCTCTAAAATTTAGTCCCACAAAACAAACCACCTAAATTTCAAGGCAATTTTCGCCACTCCTTCAGTATTAATTAACTATGAGTTTCCTGTTCTTTATACTCCAAAATGAAGAAAAATTCCCTACGTGTAAACTGGGAAAATTGCTATACTCCCAATAGATGAGGTTACATTTTCTGAATCGCCTAATGACAACTATAAGTTGGTCAAATCATCTTTCAGAACCAAGTTTCTGGTGCAGATGGCAATGTGACCATTGGATGCAATAGGCCCAAACCAATAACTTGATGAAGCACTTAGTCAGTTAACATAAACTTCAGCACATGTACAAAGAAAAGCATACCAGTAGTTGCTCTAGAAAGCAAAAGTAAGCAAGCATGCTGACCAAGATAAGCACTGGTACATCCTGCCAGATCCTGTCATGCATGAAATAACTACAATACATTACAATTAAAAAACTAGTGACTCGCTGATGATTTGTCACAGGTTTTTGTAGACATAACAAGATGTTATCTCTTGATATATGTATATGTTGTTCAAATTCAGGATCAACTGCTTATCAATTCTTACACAGCTCAGCAGCCAATAACATATGCGGTAAGTAGGCTTTTCAGTTTGTTCGGTGGGTATTGGATTTTCCCTCTTATTCTGGAGCAGTTTCTCATGATTAACTTCAAACGTTTTGGCAGGAGCAAGGAGGGTAAAGTTTTATGGCAGTTGCTTCTACACTGTCATTTGGTGTCTTTGAATGGAGAAGAATGTTTGGAATATTTCAGGGGAAATATCCATGGACTTGATGTAGTATATGATTGTTTTGATGGCGTCTCTTTGGAGCTCTGCATACTTTAAGGGAGTTTCTTTTATGGATATAAAAAGGGATTGGACATGAACTGTTTTAGTAATGTTTTATATCTTTTTAGTCTCAGCATACCATCATTTTAGTCTCATTGGAGCTCTGTTTTAGTAATGTTTTATATTTATTTATTTTTTCTTTTGTCAAGTTAAAGGAGGAACTCTAATCATCTATTCTTTGTAATCATTCTTTCCTTCCATTCTTTATTTTTTTATTAAAATAAAAAAACAAAGGATACCTGAACAACACCAAGAGCACATCTTACTGCCACCTACCCATATGAGCATATAAACTGAAGCTGCAGTTTATTAAACCTAACAACCCTAAACAATTATGATCTACTAAGATCAATGCAATATTAAAATCAGCCCTAATATCAGAGATAAACCAAAATAAAGAGATACACTGGCCTTTAACCTTATACCTTCTCAAAGATCTCGAAGTCTGGATCAAAAGGCTTATCAAATAAACATTACAGCAACTTTTTAGGTCTCTCCTATGTCAGTTTGAGAGAGAATTGAATGCAAAAATGACTAGTGCATTGAAGCAATTGATCTTGCCTGTAATAAGCTATTTCTCTCTGTTGTGGCACATTTGATGGCTGCCTAGCAGCAGTTTGAGGATTATAAATTTTCAACAGTGTTACTGGGAGGTTTTGGACTTCCTGCTTGCAGACATCACAGGTTCTGTTTCCTTTAATACTAAACCACTTTACAGCACAGTCTTGGTGAGCAAGTGCAAGATCACCTTTACAACTGCATTCCATCTTAAGAGTAATCCCTCCTTCCCCAAGCTCCACCAAACAAATCCTACAAACTGCTTCTTCCTCTGGAATATCCTCAGTATCATCTTCAATGGCTGGAAAGGGATGAACAGAGTTAAACAAATATGAACAAAGGAGGAGGAGGGATTTAAGCATACGGTCAACAAGATAACCAAAGACAACGTGAATAGCATAGTAACTAAAAATATGAATTATGCATGCAGATGAGAACTTCTACTCCCTAATAAACATGTTTATACTTAAATACCAAGTAATCCTAACTCACATGGAAAAACAGAATTTGTAATTAAAAACCCTAAAATCAAAATTACAAGTTAACATCTATATAAACTTATTTCTTTCACTATCATCATGTCTTTTCTTTTTTTAAAAAAAAAAAATTGGAGAGTCCGTTGCAATGGAATTAAGGGGTTTTCTTTAGATTATATCTCCTGGAAACCTCTATATTTTCTGTCCTCTATATTATTGTTGATTTTTCATTTTATTTATGGTTCAGTGATCAATATCAAATAGTTGTTGCCTATCAAAACAACTTAATGCTTCAAATTACGCACATTCTTGATCAAGAAATATAAAAGGCACACCTAGAAGAAAATTATGTACGTCCCATATATTTTGAAGAATTACCAATCTCTGGAACCGAAGCATCATCAGTTGAGGCTCCACCAACAGTTTCAAGATGTGGTTTTGCTGAAATTACACGAATCAGTCCCCTAGAATCTGTACGCTTTAACTTAGTGGCTTTGCCATTAACTGGAACTGAAAATGATCGAGTCATATGCTGCTGAACTTCCATTGTCTATACAAAAAGAAAATATTAATCAATGCAGCATATTTTAAGTATCATACATCATTTTTATTTACAAAATGTTAAAAAGAACTTTTAGTGTGAACATTATTAAAGTAGTTTTGATCTTGAAACAAGAATGAACAATGGAAACATACCCTTAAACCAGAATCACACAGTGGATGTCTTCCGTGTACATTCTCTGCACCTGAAGTTGCAATTGGAGTAACTGGTAATGAATGTGCAGCTTTTGCTGATGGGGAGAAGAAGACCTTATTATTAAGCAACAACGACCTCGAAGTGGAAGGTTTATCCAAAGGAGCATCTGATGGGGGAGTATCAGGAACTACAAGAACTGTCCTTTCAGTATCAGGGGAACAAGTTTTTGTCCTGAAGCTTCTCTGGGGAAGTAAACTTCTCATGGAAGATCTGACTTTAGCTGAATTTGGCCTTGGGGGAAGTCCTCTAATGGAACCAGGACTTGACATTGAAACTGAAGGACCATCCGTCTTTGCAAAAGAAGATAATGCAATATCCAGTGACCATGCTGGTATTTGCAGCGAGGAGAGGGTAGGTTTTCTGGATTGGGGAATCATAATCAAGGAGGCATTCTCACCTTTTTCATTTCCAGAACATGTCTACAAAACCATCAAAATAATTACTCTTTTTATGATGTTTATTTTCGAATGGCGTGATAATTAAATACTTTAGCCTATCCAATTAACACTAAACACTAAAACATTAACAATCTAATCAATTGCTGTCCACTGCCACACCCAAAAAAAAGAAGATCTCAAGTGAAAATAAGGAGTAATGCCAGTTTAAAGTTTAAAACATAAAATTTATAAGAAACGTAATGTAATTTAGAAGTCACATTATGATTATACATAAAACAGATCGAAATCATTCGATTAGGGTTTTCACTTTTGAAGAAAGAATTGAAAGTCACCTGAGCAGGATCTGACACAAAATCAGCATCACTTTGAAGCTCAGCACCTATCTTTTCCATCAAATTATCAGACCAAGGAAACACTTTGGCAAAACTGTAGTTACAGTTACAGCATCCAATGCCCACACACCATAATATATTATATTCTGATATGATTATAATAATAAAAGGCAAAGAAAAAGCGTATGTTAATGATGATAATGTTTGCGGCAAGCTAGGGTTCCTTTGATTCAGATAATTAATTAATAGGATTCAGATAATTAATTAATAAATGAAAATCGAAATATTTTGCAGCATTCTTTCAGGTTTTTTAGAAATTGTTATGTGATGATTATTACCCGCCAACTGCAAATTGTGACATGCGAACTCTACGATCCTTCCACTTCTCTCACGATTCTCCATTCTACATTCTACGTTTTTTTTTTTCCTTCCTTCTTCACTTCACTCACACAGTCACTCCCCTTTCCTTTGTGTCCTCACATTGCTCTTTCAATTCTTTACTTTTTTTTCTTTTTACTGTTTCAATTCATAAATTGCAAATTTTCATGTTGACTGACAAAAAATTATTTTATGCACTCATAAAAAAAAAGTTGGAATTTATTTATTTTTTTCTCTCTCTTTTTTTAATAAGTCTCATTTTTTTTTTTTATGTCTCATATAATATAAAAAATATATTCTTTTTGAAGAAAAAAAAAATGCATAAAGAGATTTTCATATTTTTACTCTTAGTTTTAGAAGATAAAAAAATATTTTTGAAGCTGAATTATATACAATTCCCTTCAACTGAATTATAAAAATAAAAAATCGACACACAATTTCATAAGTGTGCAACATAAGATAGTAGTCTTATATGACATAAGACAACTATTTTTCTATTTTTAATTCTATTATTAGTTAACCATTCACTTAAAGTGAGTTGAGTCTTGGGGTCGAGACGTGGGCCATGTATGGCGGGTGTCACAAGACTCACAAGTCACAACTATCTCACACACGAATTTATATTTCGTTTTGTACCATTAGACTAATTTTTACATTTATGTCAAGTCATGTCAAAGTATTTTACATTAATAAAGAGTTTTTTATTTTTCTTATCAGGAGACAGGAGTCAATGATATCACCCGTTTAATTATGCCTAATTTAATTAACAATATAATAGTAAGTTAGGTTTCAAAAAACATAAAATAAATGGCAGCGGGACTAACTATTTTTAAACGTTAAGAGAATGTCTACGAATAAGATCCAAAAATATTATATTTGTATTTGAGCATAATTGACTAAATTTTCCCAATAATCTCATTTATATATATATATATATATATAGATGAAAATTTTAAAGGCAAATACTAATACTATAGGATACCACTAATTAGTAACACCATAAAAAAGTCTCAGTTATATCAAGTATCTATTCTTTGTTATTAAAATGGACAAAAAAGATTGTCAGTTTGAAACTTCTTGAATCAAAAGTTGCTAAACAGTCTTCATCTTATCTAAATACTTGTTAAATAAAATAGAAACTAGACAACTAGTGTTATGAAAGTCAACATAAATCAAATAAAAAGTAAGAGATACAATATTCTTACTGTCAAATATTTTTATTATCAATACACTATCACTTTAATATAATTATGTATTCTGAAAAATATATTAAAAGTTATTTTTTTTTCTTTTCAGATTTTTTTTAAAGATTATCAGCTGAAAAATAAAATCTAACAGTGATTAGAATAGAAATAAAAATATTTGATAATAAAAATATCCTATTTAATGTTTATAATCTGTACTAAAATTCCTAAGTTTGCTCCGGTTTTAGCTAAGTTACTTTTTGGTTTAAGGTTTTATTTTTGCTTGTAATTATTATTAACTTACTTTTTTTATTTTTGCCCTAAAAAAAGTTTTTAAGGTATGATGCACCCTATACATGTAAAAACATTGGGTTTTACTTTGAATAGATTGGGTTGAGAATTGAGACGGTACAAGAAATGTTAGAAAAGGTCAAAGCGGTAAGCATGTGGTAGAATAACGAAGCATATAATTGTTTACTTTATTGTTTTAGATTGAAGGGGAAGCAACTTAGCACTTTCTTCATGTGAAAAAGTTGGATTAGAATTTGCAAGTCCAATGGCAATTGGCAATAAACGTTGATTGAAATTTGAATAGTCCAAGTCACAATTACAACCACAACCACTAGTTGCAGTCATAGGCCGACATGAGTCACTACAAAGGATGACGCTATGATGATTCAACTTTCATCATTTCATCCCAAAGCTGGTCTTTTGGGGTTGGGCCCCGGCGCTGCTTCCTCGATGGAACCATGCGACAGGGTCACGCACAGACTCACATGACACGAGTACTAAGGACATATGAGGCACGAATCTACGCACGAATACTGATACGGGACGCGACATGTCACACCGACACATTTATTTTCAAAAATATCATATTTTAACATGTTGAGACAAATTTTGATATTAAATAATATTTTTTAATATATAAAATATAATTTATATTTAATACATATAACAGTCCATGATAGGTTATATAATCAATCAAATATTCAAATTTCATATAAATAAAAATAATTTTTCGTACTTAATTTTTAATGTCAAGTTTCATAATAGAAAAAATTGATTTATAATTTTTTTTTTATATTTAGTTAGTAAAATAAAATTAAGAGTAAAAAAACGTGTCGGACGCGTGTCGGAACGTTGACCGCATGTCGGAAAGAGTTGAATGTGTGTCGAAAAATGTGTTAGAACGTATCGGAGAGTTGACCGCGTGTTGGAATGTGTCAGTATCCGACACGCATATTTTCCAAAATTTTGCATGTCGAGGTATCTGAGCTCATGACTCATGTCACACTAAGAAAAAAAATTATATTCTCCCAATATTAAAATAGATTTTTCTTTTCTCATGTCACATGAGATAACATTTCTTATGTTATAAATACAACAAATGGTGAGTCTCATCACTTATTAAAAAATAAAAAGAAGATAGCACGAATTTTATTGCCTTACAACATGAGAAAACAATCTCCAACAAGATCAAAAAATGATTTCCCTATTAAAATTTGTATATCACTAACTAAAATTAAAAAAATATACCTATTCATTTTTGGACAAAAATTTTATTATATTATATAAGAAAATATTATCTTATATAAAGATATAATCAGATGAACCACAACTTAAAAGAAAAAAAAGTGTTAGCTCAAATTTTAATGGGTATATAATATGATAAAAAAAGTCCATGTAACATGAAAAAAAAATATGATCCTTTATTTTATTTTTTTATTATTATATGAGTTTCTCGTAATTTATTTTAGGGAGAAATATTTATCATTTTAAAGGATATAACTTTATTTTATTTTAGATAAAATAATGTCATTTTAATACATGATTAATAATTTTTTATATTCTTTCTCCTTCACTTTCTTTCTCTTTAGAGAGAGAATATAAAAAGTTTATTAACTATTCATTATAATAATATTATTTCATTACATTAACACAAAGTTATATTAGAAAAGTAAAAATATTTACTAAAACAATACACGTGCAATCTATTCCGTCCTCCACGTCGTTAACATCATAAACTTCAACATGCCAACACTCTTCCTTTCCATTATTATCTAAACATTACATGTACTTACAAATTTGTATTTATGAACAAAGTTCTATATTTCATATGCGTGGATCGGATTATAAAATATGCCTGATACAATTAATGAAAAAAGAAAAAAATTTAAATTCTCTTTATACTAATATATAGTTAAAATATAATTATATACGTGATTCTTATTTTTAATTTATTTTTATTGATATTTATAAGTCTTTTTTTTTTGGGGTAGGGTATAAACAGTCATTTTTAATTTGATGATCATCGTCATTTTTAACCCCTAATATATCGAATAACTCGTAAATTGATAAAATTATATAGTTGGGTTGGGTTGGTAGTTGAGTACACAACCATAGGGTGTATTAATTAGTATAATAGTATTATAATTATTATTCTCCTATCTAACACGTGGCTCTCTAAATCAAGGGCCAGGATGTTCCTTTTTCCTTCCATTACGTTGTTAACTATGACTATGACTGAGCTGAGCACAACGAAGAATGAAGAAAGTTGAAACCACCATAAATAACCCACAAATACACAATTTTCTTTCCTTCTCATTCACCAATACAAAAGGCTCTTCATTCTTCTTCTTCTTCTTCTTATTCTTATTCTCTTCCCAATCCATTTTTATATGGCCATGAGTGACACCATGTCTGGCCCAAATGACTGGCTCCATTTCTATCAACAAAACCTCCCTGCAGGTCAAGTCCTCCCATCTTCCGTTTCCGAAGCTACAACCGTCACAACCACCATCACGACGCCGACCCAGTTGAGCCCAGAAGGCCGAGTCTCCAAGCCCATCCGCCGCAGATCCCGGGCTTCAAGGCGAACTCCCACCACTCTGCTCAACACTGACACAACAAACTTCCGGGCCATGGTGCAACAATTCACTGGCGGCCCAACCGCACCTTTTGCCCCAACTGCATCAATACCTTTGCCAAATCTGGGTTTCGGTTTCGGGTCACGTCCAGTTTCTATGAACCCAAATGGGCTCATGTTAGCCCCTTCTGGCTACCATCTTGAGCAGCAGCAACAACAACAACAGCAGCTATATCAACAACAAAACCAGCACTACATATCCACTAGTAACAGAGAAGTTGGAGACAATATAAACAACCCAACACCTCCAAATGTTACTGATTATAGTGGGATTTTCATGGATCATGAATTGCGTTTCTTCCCAAGTACTTCTTCTTCTTGATTCTGATGCTGTTGAGAAGCCACCGTAAAGTATTCTCCAATAGGAACAGGGGTAGGCGGCTAGCAGTTTCTTCGGTCTGAAAGTGACATAAAGCAGATAAATTAGGTGCTGACTTAGCGACAATTGTTGACCAACCTATGTTAAATATATTTATAGTTTGTCTGGCCACGCACACCACAAATCGGGCTATGTTTTTTTTTATTTTTTATTTTGCTATGCTTCTACTTTTCCTTGTTAATTAGCAATGGTGTAATATTTATTTATATTCCTTTCTTTTTTATCTGTCTGTTTTTTTTTTTTTTTTATGTTAATATTAATTGGGAACCTTCTCCTAGGGAGTCCTAAAGTTAAATTATTATGGTTTACACCTTTACCAAAATATGTTACGTATGTTGACTTGCTTCCTTGTAATACTTGTATCTATGTATGTCCTTTTGTGATACAGAATGTGGAAGCAACACTCAACATAATAGTACAAAGTACAAACTCCAAATTGCGGGAATGATAGGTTATCAGGCCCCTGACCCGGTGGTATGAAGTCTACCCTAAGCTAGCAACGTTTAGCAATAGAACTAGGCTTATGACAGTCTGATTGGGAACACTTACTCTTTACCAACTTTTTTACTTAAATATCACGCAAACAGTATTATTTCCGAATATGTCACGGGGCAAGTTCATTACTCTGTGTAGCGAATTCAGTTTGCTGACGTGTCACATTTTTAATGGATAACAAGTATCAAATTTTAAAAATAATAATAATAAAAAAAAATGAAGGTCGCCTACCATGTAGGCGAACTTGGTTAAAATCAAGTTGATGTCCACTAGAAATGTGACACGTCAGCAAATCGAGTTCGCTACACTGGGTAACGAACTTGCTCCCGTGGCAGATTGGGAAATAACACTGTTCGCATGGCATTTAGGTAAAAAAATTGATGAACAGTGACATTTTGGTCACTGTTCCTTTCTCATTGTGGGAAAAAATTAATATGATTCTGGCCCATGAAATCTTTCCCTGGTCCCCTCACAATCAATTTTTTCTTTTGACCATTTTGTCCCTGCTTTTCCTTTTATTTTTCTGTTTTGCCCTTTACATGTGAGAGGGAGCATTTATACATTTTATGGGCCTGGCCCATAGAATAACTTCTCCTCATTGTGATATGCCCCCTTCTACTATTTTTATGTTTCAGTTTCCCCATTTTCTTCAGAGGTGCATAATATTTAGTGATAAACGCATGGCTACCTAAAAATTGTTTTGCACGTTGTTACCATTTAGTCTCATTCTATCAATGACTGTTTCTCAAGATACGTTACGAATTTTCAACTGCAACTCTGTGAAGTGTGAACCCTATTGAGTATTTCCTTACCATACATTTCAAAGCTCTGATAATGTTTATTGGATTTGAAGTTGGAATGCAGAATAACAATTTATCTCATCATAAAAAAAGTCAAGTCGTGAGTCACATTGCTTATCATGTGTAACACTTGCAATAATTTAACGAGTTTGAACGTGTAACACCTGCAATAATTTAACGAGTTTGAATCCTCCATGATGTTAAAATGTATTTTTGTTATTATTTCACGCTCAAAATATAACTCAAATCGAAACATATAATGATATAAATGATTACTGAGACCTTACGCGGATGACAAAAGTTAATTACTTCCATAGGTGTCTGAACTTAGGTGCGCCATTGGATTGAAGTGTTTTGCATTAGAGATCAGATATAACACTAACCAACAATTATTTGTTCTCTGAGTATTATTACTAAGTTTTGATTTTGATTTTGATTTTAGAACCGCATTATTAAAAATTAGAAGCTTTCCAAAATATAAAGTAAACACAAATCTTACTTTTGGAATAGATTCCCAGATGTTCTAGTTCGAGGATAAAAGCTACCAATTAATCCGAGCTACCAATTAATCCGAGCCATAACAAATTGATTAGCCAGATTCTTGTGAGTCTATAACTTTTCCATGTGACTATAAATACCTCCACGCAATTCTAACAACTAAATTCAAAAAAATCAATCGAAATGCATATCTTTAAATTTATAGTCTCAAGATTAGTTTTTGCTGGATTATAAATAAAAACCTTTCCCAAACTGCATATCTCTAAATTTATAGTTTCAAGATTAATTTTTGATGGATTACAAATAAGAATCTTTCCCAAACGGCAACTCTCCCCACCTTCAATCATTCATTTCCGGAGTTTGATTTTCCATGACTTTAAGATGGGGAAAAAACAAGCTCCTGGAATTTTGTAGTAAGAACAAGCTTTCTCAAGTTCTAAACACTTACATACGTTAAATCTTAATTCCCAATTAAATCATAAAATTCTATCAAAGGATTTTATGGTTAAAAACTAAATGTTTAAGGAAATTTAAATGAAACGACTACAAAATAAGTCCAGCGTGAATTTAGGAATTATTGGCGTTCATTAAAAGGATTTCTAGATATTCCAAAATATATTCAGAGGATGTGATTACCTTGCTTTCTTATGTAGTAATTTTATTTTTAAAGCACACTCATTGCATGTTCTGCCAAACAATCACGGCCTAAGATATTTTTTCCGTTAAATTATTATCGCACAGTAATCAACCGACACTACAAAACACACTTTAAGCATCCCAAGTAACATGGGCACGCCAATGGAATGAAAGTACTCTCTCTCTCTCTCTCTCTCTCTCTCTCTCTCTCTCTCTCAAGTCATTTTGGATGAAAACTTCAAAATAAACTCTATGAAAGCATGCCTGAGATAAAAGATAATGAAGATATGGAGTCCAAAAGTAAAGAATAAAAAGGTTATAGTATTTTCCCCATCTAAAACTAAGTCACTGACATGACAAGTAACAAACACAAGTTCGGGGCAGGTTTTCTTGCCAAGCATATACAAACAACAGTTTCATGTATACCGCCGTTCCACATGCAGAATCTTGACCACACTCAGCAAAATTAAAGTTACCTTGTGCAACTACAAGCCATGTTCCACTATCCAAGATAATGCATGTAATATTACAGAAATCGCAAGGACAGTAGCTATCGACATTCCGCCGAGAACCCAACAACTTTACCAAAAGTTACCTATTTTATCTCCTCATCTTTCCCGTTAATCTGGGGATTAAGCTCATCATCATCATAATATTCTTCAAAAAATTCTTCATCACTATCATCCTCATCATAATAATACTCATCGTGGTCATCATCCTTATCATCCTTGCCATTTTGTAGAGGATATGAGCCATCTATTAACTGCTGACCTCTTAATCTCTCTTGAATTCGATCCCTAATTGCTGTTCCCTGATATAGATCCAAGTGGGGTAACAAAAATTGAAAAAAGCAAAACAAATAAAAAAAAGAAGAAGTTAACTTGTAGTTTACATACATCAGAAGAGTTACATATTTTTTTTTTTTGGGAATAAATTAGCTCACCATCTTATGGCAACCTTCTTCAAACATTTCCAGAAACCCAGCAACCCAACGGTCAGCATTTTCTACCCACTCATTCCGATGCATACCCGCAGTCTTTGCAACAATTTGGATCTAGATGAACCACAAAAATATGTATATCTATCACAATACCGTAAAACCAATTGAAATAAATTAAAAAGGTATTATACTATTAAGCATAAATAAATTTTGAAAGGAGAATGCTAATGTCCATAGCACAGCAAGATTTGCTTTATTATGTAATAAACATAGGCTTTGACACTTTGCTTTGTTAAGGATGTCTATGATCACTTGCCCGTTCCTATACATATCAATTTTAAACTACAGCCTCATCTATGCAACTATACAGAGTAAACACCTTGTTTAGTTTCAACACTTTCAATAACACAACAGCTCCCTCTCACCCAGATGTACATTTAAGCATAGTTGTCAATAGCAGTTAGCGGCCGGTAGCGGCCGACCCCGAAAATGGTATAGCGGTGTAGCGGGTAGCGGTATTACTGCTACGGTGAAGTATTAATTCCACATATATTATACTAACAGTCAAGAAACGAGGCAATACCGCTTTTAGTATTAATGCTCAAACATAAGAAGTCACACAAAATCAAACACATAATTCCACAATCAATGTCAAATACAAGGAACATAAAGGAAGGATCCAAAATTAAACACAACTGAACAATAAAATTGTCAAATAGTCAAGTACAAGAAGTGAACTAATAAAGAAAATCATCATCATCTCCGGATTCTCCATCAAATTCCAACATGGGAGTGGTGTAGCGGGGTAGCGGGTGTAGCGGGTAGAGGTATTGCTGCTACGCTACGCCGCTACCTTCCGCTACGGCCAATGTCGCGTAGCGTCGCGGTTTGTAGCGACTGACCGCCGCTACCCGCTACGGTAGCGGTTTAGCGGCGCTACGGGCCGCTACTAACAACCTAGCATTTAAGCAAAATGATTAATTTTACAAAGCTGCTTCCTACTACTGCTTTTAGCAACTGTGCAGAAACAGTAAGAATTCTTTGTTTTACTTTTACAAGACAACTACAGTTAAGCCAGTCCAGAGCTTTTTCACTCTCTAGTCACTTCATCACATGTGGACACAAGATTTTTAATGTCAGCCAACAATTAATTTGAGCATAATAGAGTCTCAGGGTAAAAATTCAAACAAGCAATATTAGGAATTCAAACAAGCAATACAGAATCGTGAAAAAACAAACTGCAATTGGCTGATATCAGTTTGTTGGCAATAAGCCATAAGACCACTACACTTTTAACCAATGAAACTGTGACCTATGATGCCCGACACAAAAAGAAAAGGATAGAAATTAGGAGTAATATATTCACATGCAACCTGGTTCATCCTGCTAGAATTACAATGATAAATTAAAGCTAAATTAAAAAAATCATATGAAAATTCAGCATGTGATCAAAGCATGTAGTAACTTTCAAGCCAAATAAAAAATCCAATCTGCAAAATTCCATTTTTTTTTCCAGTTACAACTGCAAGCACACAACAAGATACATAAAGCCACTACATTATAAGAATGTATAGAAGATATAAAAACAGAGACCTATATATTGAAATTTATCATAAAATGAGGAACGGAATTCATTGTAAGCTATATTCAACAAATTTGAAGCTGTTAAGACTCAATTTTTTTGGGTTGCAATAAACTGCCAGGTCCTAAATAAAAATTAAAACAAGATAAACACAGATCTCAATTCAGATTGAATTATTATAAGCTTTGTTGCTTTTACTCCTTAATCATCGTATGTGTCCTTCACAAAGCACTCCAAAATCCATGCGGTCAATACTTTGACAAAACTGTGATAATAAGCCATTAAACCAAAAAAGCAGTAATAGATATCCAACATCCCATAGCAATTTAAATCACCATTGAGTTTCCCTGTGAAATTTTTTGAAGCACTTTAATTGGTATTCTCAGAACCTACTTTGACGGTTCAACCAACAATTACATTACATCACAGTTTACATAGGTGTTTCTCATCCTACATCCCATTCAATTCACATGATTTTGCCTAAAGAAAGAAATCAATTCAACTTGATTAACTAAATTATATGTTATAGCAGTATACATACCTTTTCACCAACTTTTTCTTGTTGTTCCTTTACTTTCTCTTGTAATGTTTTCAACCTTCTATTCACTCGCAATCGCTTTTCCTGTTTATGATAAACATATGACAACCACAAGGGATAAGCGCATTCGCCAAAGGAACAACAAGATTGAAGTCAATATAAGAATGAATAATACACTTAAAGAGGTATCCTATTTAAAGTAAAAAACATCAAAGAGATCTATGACAAAATCATGCCTTCACATAGCTCACACCAAGCTCTTTTCTTGAGTACCCACGATCCAAGTTCCGGAGCACATATTGGTTATAATCTTTGACAATCCTCATTATAATATCTGATGTAGATATTCCTTCAGTCCGTTTTGTTTCCTTAAATTTCCCAACAGCTTTAACCTGCATATAAAATTGCATGGCATATAGTGTATGTCATGGAAGAAAAGCAAAATGAAACGAAATGAAAATATACAAAAAGAACATTTTCTCATACATACAAATTCATAAACATCATTGGCAGCACCACTGGCATCAGCATAACTGTGGACAATGGATTGACAAGTGCAAAAATGATGATTACAATTATGCAAAATGCAATGAAATGAATGGATCCAAGTAACTGAATGCACATGTTGATGTTAAGAGATTATTCTTACGGAAGAGAGTCATGAGCCACATAGTCAATTTTGTGCTTGTCAAGAAACTCTTGATTTATAACCCAAGGGGCATCAGGAATGACTTCATCCACCCATCTGCTCTCAAGATAAGCTTAATTAAATTCGAATCCAAATCCAAATCCAAATAATAATTGACAAAAAAGACAACGTACTTGCAGTGGCGCAGGGATTCGTATCGTTCGGCCTCTGTCATAACCGTTTTGCCTTTGTATTTGTGGGTGACTTCATCGCTACAGCACCCAACGAGCAAGTATGTGTTCGGAAATCTAAAAACTCGAAAGTAAGAAAAAGTGTGTTTGTGAAATATGAAATCTATATAATTGCATTCCATTAAGCAGATCTCTGATGCAAAGTATCAAATAAAAGTGAAATAGTGATTAAGAAGAAGATGCATACGATTTCTTGGCTTGCTCAAGGGAACGAGCATGGCCAAAGTGGAAGAGGTCGTAGATGCCATCGGCGTACACTCGAACGGGACGATCCAACGGAGGCGACGCCATTTTGGAATTCGATTCTGCCATTCGAATTAATCGCCCCTCTCCGTTTCTTTTCTTTTCTTAAATCGCATGCGCTCCCGGCTCCCGACGACTGCTGCCGTATGCGCCAATTTCGGTTTTTCTCTACTTTTTTTTTTTTTTTTCGAGGTGTCCCTTTTTTCTCAATAAAGCAAGTAAATGATTTATAAACACCGTGCAATCACTAATTATTAATAAGGCTAATAAGAAACAGATATAATATTGTATAAATTCAAGGGCAAAGAATTTCTGCGGTAAACGTAGATGAGTTATTTTTGGTGAGTTCAAAACGATGTTATTTTTGGACGAAAATTAAAGTATTTTTGTAATTATAATATATTACAGGGTTTTTTTAGTCTTTATTATTATAATTTTTTAATCTTATAATCTCAAAACGACATAGTTTTGAGTTTACTGAAAATAACTTTATCGACTGAAAAAATACTTTTTCCTAAATTTAATATTTATAATAATCAATTTATTGTTTAATAACAAATATTTAACACGCATTTAAACTATTAATTTTAAGAAAATATTAAATCAAAATATTTAAATTATTTGCAATAATATTTTGATATATTTTTAACATTTTATTATATTTATTTTAATGTATCAAGTAAAATTATTTAAAATACAAAAACTTAATAATTATTACTTTTTGTTTTTATAAAAAAAAGTATGTAACTACTAACTACACAAGTGCGCATAGACATGTGAGATAGGGGTGTTCGCGGTCTGGATTGGATCGATTTTGGAAGCAAAAATTATTCGATCATATTTAATCGGTTTGATCATGTAATCATCTATTCGGTTTGGATTTGTTTTCAAATCCGATCCGATCCGATTCAATTTTTTTCGGTTTGGATTGGATCGATTTTTGATTTTTTGAAAACTCTAAAATTTATTTCATAATTATTGTGCAAATAATATCTTTTGTATATATTGGTTTTGTAATTATTTTTTTTTTTGAAATACAAAAGCATCAGTAAACGATAATATAATTTTTATTTTTTTTTGGAAATATGAAGCTCTACAGATGAAATTTTATTATAAAATGTGGCTAGTTTTTTTTTTTTTTTTTGGTTTAGTTAATGGGTTAATGTATCTCGAGTCTAGAAATTTTTGGGATATGATTGGGGAAATGCCTAAGCAGGTAGAGAGAAATTAATATATTGGATCGATTTTCATCAATCAATCCGAAAACCGATCCAATCCAATTAAAATTTGCGGTTTTTTTTTTCAAATTTTAGTTTATTCGGTTATCAATTTTCAGTTTAGTCACCACAGTTTGAATCATTTTAGATTGGTTGATGAAGACACATGCTCTTAGATATTATGAGCTATGCACCAATAACATGAGAGTCAGCTAAACCTGTGATCTACGATCCCTTAGCAACCATTTCAACCCAAATTCAATCAATTTGCAACTGAAGGATAACAAAGTAGAAGCATAAGAAAGTGATCTACGGTTTTCTTCACATTGGTTACAAGGGCTCTTGGCGCTTTCAAACCTTTTAATGAGATCCAATCTTCTTCTGTGTCAGGATTTTTCATGTTGTTGTGTTGGGTTTCATTTTGCTAGATTTATGATCTCCGTTTCTTAAGGATTTCATTTTTGTTTACTTACTTTCATTGCCTTTCTATTTTGGGAATTTCATTTATGATATGTTCTTTGTTGATCAAAAGACCAAGGTTCGACTAGAAAAAATTTGTTAAATGACAAATGCAAACCTCTATATATAGAGAGAGAGGTAGGATCCTTTGACACCCATGTCAAATTTGAATTTTGACATCTCGTCTGAGAGCTTTTAGATCAAAAAAGATCAACGGTGTCACATGCTTACAAATAAGAGTCGTTGATCTTTTTTGATCTAACGGCTCTTAGATGAGGTGTCAAATGATCCTACCTCATATATATATGAGGTAGGATCATTTGACACCGGTGCCAAATTTAAAATTTGACACCTCATCTGAGTACCGTTAGATCAAAAAAGATCAATGGTGTCACATGCTTACAAATCAGAGTCGTTGATCTTTTTTGATCTAACGGTTCTCAGATGAGGTGTCAAATTTCAAATTTTGACACCGGTGTCAAATGATCCTACCTATATATATATATATATATATATATATATATATATATATATATATATATATATATGAGGCAGGATCCTTTGATACTGGTGTCAAAGAAAAAGTTTGACACCTCATATGAGAACCGTTAGATTAAAAAAAATCAACGATTCTGATTTGTAAACATGTGACACCATTGATTTTTTTTAATCTAATGGTTCTCAGATGAGGTGTCAAACTTTTTCTTTGACACTGGTGTCAAAGGATCTGTCTATATATATATATATAAGTATCGATATGGAATGAATATTCAATTCAGACACGACAAGAATAAGAGTAACATTCACAGCAAACTTTGAATGTTCGAATTCAATGAAATCTTTAAAGCAGTCACCACGAGGCACGAATAAACTAGCTAGACAATGTACACCACAGCCCTGGTTTTCGACTTTTACGCTTTTATAGATTTATTCAAGCCATATGAGTAGCATCCAATACTATATACCACAAAAAAGAAAAAGCTTTCATATAATAGCTAGTACAGACATCATACATGGTTGGTACTAGTTTGATTTTATTGCATTTAATTGATTATGGAAATTAAGGCAATTTCCTTTTTAAATAATTACCCCTTTTTTTAGCAATTTAGGAAAACATGGGAACATGCATGGTTATATCAGATACGCAGATACGGTTAATCGAACAATATTGACTTTACAGCTGAAACTTTTGAAACCGAAATTATTATTATTTTTATATAAACGACGTATATCTTCATATTATTAAAAAAAAATTAATTAAATAACAAGCTATTGAGCATAAAATTTAAGTATAATTCATTGTGTTTAAATTAAATAACTAACGAGTTGAACTTCAATCAAGAAAACAAATTCATACTTTTAACTAGTAATCTCAATAAAATTTATTCTTGTCGAGCAAATCTTAACTTGCATGACTAGACTCAGTTCGAATCACTTCCAAAAGATGATGGTCCGGTCTCAGGAAAAAAAAATTGGTGATCCAAGCCCCACATGATATTTCCATTCACCTGATCACATTTGAAAAAAAAGTCTCCTTTTTTTTTCTTCTCAGTAATTGTCAAATTTTTTATCCGAACTACTGATCCCGGGATCATTGAAATTTTTCTCCCGATTTGGTTAGAATAGGAAAGTAATAATAATAATAATCAAAATTAAATTATTATTTTATAACAGGTTATGTTATCCATGTCAATCTTTTAGGCTATATAATATTTTTAAGTTTAAATTTCCGGAACTTTCTCAGTAAATTTTTTTATGTGATTCAATAAATTAAATTGTTTAACTTGTTGTGATAATGAAATTTCTTTAGTATTATCAATGGATAATAATTAAATTCATATTTCAAAGAATAAAAGGTGAGATATATACATCATTAATAAGAAAAAGTTTAATCTGGGGGTGTGTGTTAGGAGTGTGTGTAATGTAGGGAGTTGTGTTCAATTCCTTGTAACCTCCAAAAAAGAAAAAGTTTAATCTTATACATTATTAGTGGAAGGATTTTTATAATATTATTCAATAGCACGTTGTTATATCATTTAATGAGTTTGATAATACATGATATGTTAAATTTCTTAAATGATGCGACAATATATCATTAAATAACAATGTATTTATTAGGGGTGATAAGCAAATCAGGGGTCTTTGATCCGACTCGTGAAGGCCTGGACTTACATGTCTAAAATTGATAGTTGAAATCAGGCTTGGACTTGTATAAAAGCTCGTTTACTAAAAAAGGATCAGGCTCCAATTCAAAAGCCCGACCTTAGAGCCTCTCAGGTTGGCCTAGTATATTATTAACTTTTATTTTTGTTTTATATTTTTTATACTACTCATAATAGCCCCTTTCTCTTTCCTCAACCAATTTTATCGCATTTTATTGGTTAAACAGACTTTTTAAATAATTTTGTTCTATATTATACTGTTTAGATATATATTGAATTTATGAATCTTTGTGAAATTATTAGTGTTGTTGATCATATATTCTGTTTGGATAAATTTGTGTTGTCTTATTTTTTTTAACAAGCTAATAGACTAAACCAGACTTTTATTTTATGTAAATAAGTTAGGTCACAAGCCGATAATTATATTCATAATAAGTAACAAGTTAAGCCAGACTGACACATTTAAACAAGTTTAACCTTTTAAGACTAAAGTCCATCCCGGCTCAACCCGTTAACACCCTAGTATTCATCAAATAAAAAAATAATCTAACATTTTAAACGTACCTTAATCAGAATAAGAATATATGAGTTTGAAATCATCTTGTGACAAAATACCCTCTTTCCTTATTTGATACATAATTATAAAAAGTTAAATAGTATCATGAATTATAATACCAAAAAAAAAAATGCATTGCTCATTGATACTATTTACAGGCGCAAAAAGCGCAAGAAAATGTTGAAATGGCACAATAAGCACCAAATATTCTCTTGTAATGGCGTAAGAAGCGCCCGAAATGGTGCAAAAAGTGTAAAAACATAATAAATGAAGGGTTTTCGTTTTATCCTTTAACATAATACAACAAATTTTCCTACACTCACAATATTTTGTGGGCCCCACACTTTTTAAAACAAAAAAATAAATAAAAAATTAAGGCATGCAAAACGAATCTCTGTAACATTACACAATCACTTTTCCTACAACATAACTCTTATAAAACTCATAAATAAAATATTGATTTACGAGAACAATGTAATAATTAAAATAAATAATAATAATAAAATAAAATAAATAAAAATAAAAATAATAAATTAAAAATAAATAAATAAATATTAAAATAATGTGATAATAACAAGTAAGGAATATGTGAAATTCCCATAAAGCAAACAAATAATTCTTATTAGATTTAGTTAGAATCTTATCTATAAGTAATGATTAGTTGGTTAGTTTTTATTTGATTATGTAATGATTTCTTAGTTAAAAAGTGAGTATATAATCTCTCTCTCTATATATTATGTGATTATATATATATATATATATATATATATATATATATATATATATATATATATATATATATATATATATAAATTAAAAATAAATAAATATTAAAATAATGTGATAATAACACGTATGGAATACGTGGAATGCCCAGAAAGCAAACATATAATTCTTATAGAATGAAACCTCATTTGAGTTTGATGAAACCCAATTCCAAACTTGGAAAGTTCTCTTGCAATTCTTATAGCATTCAAATGTTATGAATAAGAAGTTGGGTGTGAAAAGATGTGTCATTTCACTGTCAAAGAGACATTACTTTTCACAGGTGAATAGACATGACTTTTCACTGCCAAACAGACACAACTCTTCACCGTCAATAGATATCATTCATTGTGACCAGTCACGATTTATAAATAAGGAAGGAAATAAGAATAAAGAGAGACTTTTTTATTAACGAAACTCTGTAAAAAAAATGTGTTTTTGAAATCTTCTGGATTCATTTGGTGTGATTGATCAGCGTTCGTTGTGTCCTCCGAAGTTGTTTCTTCTGATTGTGCCACTGTCGAAACAAAGATAATTTGTTCTATCGTGGGAGGTATTTGTTCATGAACCTTAGGCACCATTGAGGGGGGAAATTGCCTTAAGGATACAGTATTCAATATTGGGCTCAGTTTTGATTTCTTGCAATTTTTTATGCTTACATATTGCATTCTGATTTTCTATGATTACATACAATTTTTTGTGTTTTCACTGATTCCACTGTAACCAACAATACAGATTTTTACACTACAAATTTTGACAAATAGAATGCTGCAAGCTCGTGAATTGATCAAAAACCCTTGCTTTTTCCTGTTAGAAGTTTGAAATCTCGTGTTTATAACCCTAATGTTTCAAGCGCAACCACTAAATCAGGATCCAAAAGATCTTCAAACAATTCAAATAAAGCTAGAAACTGAGAGCTAGAAGGTTCTGTATTGCGACTTTGGCAAGTGCACCGGTCGTAAAAGTAATAAAGTGTACGTGAGTAGGAGATCATTCCCACGAGTATTAGAATTCCAATCACTCGTTCACTATTACGCTTTATTTTACGAGAATGTTTATACGAGAATTAAAATCAAACAATAGCAATTAACATAATTAAAAATGCAAAAAGATAAATTGAAAGTTGTTTTGACAATCAAGAAAAACGCAGTTAGGGTTTCGATTTCCTCTAATTTTCTCTCCATGTCATGAATTAAACCCTTAAGTAATTGTCCTTAATATATTGCCAATCGATTCCTCTAAATTAATTAAGACTCAATACCTTGATACCCTAATTTTATATAATCTTGAAAGAACCCCAGTTCCCGGTTATTCCTTAAGAAAACAAGCATTAAGATCATGAATCACAAGATTGCATAATCACCCTATGTCTATTCCTAGAATCATAAGAATTATGATGAATTTTCAATCAAGGATCATATACCAACATCCCTATTGTCATACAAACACCATAAATTAATCTACAAGATCAAACTCATAGAAGGCATTAACAAAGGATAAATTCATTCAATTATAAAAAGGGAAATTACATTAAAAATTAAATTCATAAACATAAATATTCAATTGGGTTCCATCTACCCCTAACTACAAAGAAATTTAGCCTAACATAGTGGAATCAAAGAAAAAATAAAAATATAAAAGCTTCCCCAAACTCCATTGGTGTGATGGCATGGCGAAACTTCAAAGTTTCCAGTGTAATCTTGAAGGTACTCCAAAGCAGGAAGAACATGTTTCTCTATCAAAAACTAGGTCTCAGCCGTCAAGAGTTGTCCACCTTCTTCGGATTCCTCATAAAAATAGCTTAAATAAATGTAGGAATCCTTGTTTTGGATCAAAACCGTGTAATTGGTCGTAATTGGGTCATAAACGAGAGCTAAAGTGCCCTTGAGTGCAATTTAGCGCGCTAAAACGTGACTTGGGACCCGATGAAAGCGCTAAAGCGCCCCATTTTGACAGCAACAACGATGTTTCGTATTTTTGTCTTAACTTAAGCTATACTTGTCTGATTGATGTGATTTTAGTCTCGTTGGAAAGATAAAAGAGCGCTCTACAACTTTTACGAAGAACACAAGATCTAAATCCATAATAATTGATACGAGAAAATGGCTAAATTACAGCTTCAAGAAGATTTTCGCAAATTTGTTGCTCCCCATTTATCGCTTTAAGTCCTTCTAGTTTAACCATTTCTCCAATGCTCCAATTCAACTCAATTATCTTATAAAATAAGCCAAAATCATTCATATAAATCAGTAATTCAAACTCCATGTTTTTTATTCAATTAACCTTAAGTTCTCATGCTTTTGACTAGATAATGCATGTAATTATAGTCCTTAAAACATGATAAACTATGGATTTATCATTGTGGCAATTCAAAAGTATAAGATGAAGCGAAGGAAAATGTTGTGTTTCCTTCTCCAATTCCATGGAGATCCTCACTTTTAATGGATCATTATGAATATGAATTCGATAAGCTTGAATATCATTCTAAGAAGTCCCAAAATTGCTTTCATCCCAACCTAGTTCAATGTTTTCTTCACCGAAATTTAGTCCTTCATCTTTGTTATCATCAGAATCACTAGCGAAGAACGCAGAGGATTTCATGAGGAAGAAGAGCTTTTACAAGTCTTGTCCTCCTCCTCCAAAACTTTAAGTAATTAGTTTTCCAAAACTTCCTGCATATAGGTGCTGCACAAAGTGGCTGTGGACAAGAAAGGCTAGTGTTATCGGTTGGAGAAAAGCTCTGCTCCAATGTACTAGAATTATTATGACATGTACTTTAGTGGTCATCCCTCTTCTAGGCAAAGGTAGAGGTCACGCCTAATTAATTAGGCATGAGTAGTCATGCTTTGTTTAGACGTGTTCTTGTAAAGGGGCACGTCTTTTTTATGCGTGAGTGATCACGTCTATTTTGGGCGTGCATGAGTGTAATTAAATTGATTCAAAATAGTTATTTTTTGTAATTTTTTATTAAAATAACAATATTTTAGTTCTTTTACCAGCAAATTACCTTATTAATTTATATAGGTTAGGTTTCCTTTAGGTTCACAGCCGCGCCAATTTTTTTTATTATTGCAAGGGGTTAGTGTTTCATATGTAAATATTATTATATTTTATGGTTTTAGAGGAAGGTTATACTTACAATTTATTTTCTTTTACAACCTCTTACAACTATATTTTAACATCGTTGATTTCCGTCAATCAATGGTTATTATTTTTTTAAATTAAATTTATTAATTAATTATTAATTTACAATAAATGATAACCGTTGATTGGTAGAAATCAACGGTTAAGCTATGGTTGTAAGAGATTGTAAAAGAAAATAGGTTGTAAGTATAACCTTCCTCATGGTTTTAATGTTTCTAAAGTGAATGTAGATAAGTTATCTACATTAACTGCTAAAACGATGTCGTTTTGAGTTGAAAAATTAAAAAATTATAATGAAAATGACTATTACACTACAAAAAAACGCTCTTTAGCCACATTCAGAAATGTGGCTAAATCACATAAAAAATGTGGCAAACAAAAGCTACCACACTTTTTGTAAATGTGGCTAATCATGGCGTAGCAATATTTTAACCACATTATTTGTTTTAGTTAGCCACATTCTGATTCAGTGTGGTAGCATATATTTAGCTACAATTAAAGTTAAATTTGGCACGGTTCAAATGTGGCTAAAATAATTTAAAAAAATTTAAAAAAAATAGCCACACTATATTGTGGCTACTTTTTTATTTGCTGAAATTTAACGAAAACAACATTTATTGCAACATACAACATACAAAACAGCATTTAATCATGTCTTATCACTAAAAAATGGATGAAACTTCATACATATTCTACAATTACATAAGAAAACAAAATAAGGATTGGCTTAGTTCAAAAGATGGGCTCCTTGGTGGATACACTTTGACAAAACTCTAATGAAACCACCCTGCTAAACTTCAGTTGTTTCAAATACTTTTTTAACTTTTGCAATGGTGTTTCAAGCTTCCTCAGTTTCAGGACCGGCCTTCTCATCTGATTCCTCCAACTCAGCCTGAAAGCGAAAAAAAAAATCCCACATAAAATTAAATCCATAGATCCAAATTCAAGAAAATGCAAAGATTAAACTTATTATTATCATGTTTTTTAAATCAAAGAAAATATCTCAATATATACCAAAACATAAGGGGATAAAAAGCAAATACTTTTTTCTTTTTTTGTATAAATGAAAATTAATTGTTTGTTTTAAATACCCAGCTTATAATACATAAGATCATTAACAGGTACAACCTCCAATGGAACAATTAAGAGTTAAGACCCCGGAGTCAGCTAACTGATTAATTGATAAAGCCAAGGCATAATGCTGAGCATGTCAAAGTGATTAAAAATGTTCATGACATGAGAAAACGGCAGAAAACTGAGATATACAGTAACCACAGAAACAAGAAATATACTGTAAGAGAAAACAGTATAGGTATTAAAATCAGAACAGGACAAAACAGAACAGCTCAGGTATTAAAATCACTTGAAAAATATTTATTTTATTTGGTTGCTGAGGATCTGATGAACAAGGACAAAGACAAATTGAAATCATCTGTTTGGATAGAGAAACCACGTACGTTGAATAGAACAAATTTATAGACTAAAATCTGTTTCTCTGGTCCATATAGGAAGTAAACAACCAAATAACTTATGACTTGAATATTCCAAAAGTTTTCAGAAAAGCAAAACACATTTTTAGGAAAAGCTACGTAAGGAGAGTGAAAAATAACTTATGACTTGAATGGGAGAGTCTAAGGAAAATGGTACCTTTTTCTTGCTTCTGCCATTGTTCATGAAAATGGTACCATAAATCATTGCCCATTGTTCCCATAATATGGTTCCTCCTAGTCATATTTGCTATTATAGGTACAAGAAAATTATAAAATCAAACAGAGCAATTACCAATACCAACTACGATGAAATTCATTATTGCAAACCCAAAGAGTGTTTTCATACTCCTCTTTCTTCTTGTTTGCCTGAGAAAAGTATAGAGCCTTCTCCTAAAATCCATTAAAATAATTATATTAAATCATAAAAAAAATTATCACAACAGCATCCCTTAACATTAAGCATTTTTTTAAAGAAATAAAGTGCAAAATACTCACGAGCTTTATTTTGGTTAGTGGCAGGAACCGAAGACATGTAAAACGAGGCTTTGATCGGTCATGCGGCTTCAATATGAAAGAACAGTAAATTGCAGCTTGTATACACTCATTGGATTTTTTGACCGCCACCTATGACTTTTAAATACTAAAACACCTACCTGATCCATAAGGGCCAAGTTCCCATCAAAGAAAGATTTAATAGTCCCAATATCTTCCTAATAACCACTTCTATATTTGACAATATAACCCATGAAATGATGTCAAGACAACCACTAGTTAAAGCATCGACCATAAGTTATTTATTTATATTAATTTTTTGTTGGGTAGACCCTTATGCCATCATTTATTCAATATCTAATCCATTAATTATTGCACTGAGGGAAGGAGACAATTACTTCACTATTTTTATAGAATCACCCCCACGTTACAAAATTGATATTTCTAATAAAAAAGGGGAATAAGAACCAACTAGGGAAAACAAAAACTGCACAAAGAAACTAAATTACTAAGAAATTTTAGCAGAACGTCTATTTTAAACACATATATACCCATTGATGCAATATATGGAAATTTCCTTACCTCTTGAGCTGATAGTCCAAAAACACTGGCATCTATAAGCTATGAAAACAAGGACTTCAATTAGAGACAAGTGAATCCAGATTGACAACTGAAGCTGTAACATATTATTTCACAATCTTTTGAGAAGAAATTAGAAGAGTAACAGTAATAAAGGTATTTAATCCTCATACATCGATTTCCAATTTCTGCGTATCTAATTGAGTTTCACATTAAACCACGAATCAAAATTCAAAACATCTTTGAAATTTAGAACCGAAAAGGAAAATGAAACCATAGCTTCACTTCTAGTTCCAAAATAGAAGGGATGAATTTGAAAATGAGCATTTCCTGAACTTACATTATTAAGAGCATACTCAAATGGTTGCTTTGAGGAAGTTGCACCAAATACAGTCTCCGAGGAGCTAACAGAAGGAGGACGGTCAATTTGGAAAAGATAGTTACATGGCCAGGTAATGGAACTTGTACACCTCTTGTATAACAGTTTGAGAATCGGTTAGTATGCAAAAGTTTGAGATTCCTCCACAAATACGCCTACAAAGTATGTTGTTGCAAAATTAAAATGATAGGAACAGCTTGATTCAAACACCATTAAGGAACATTCACTCACCTCTTGGACATACCATTTGTTCTGCAATACCTTCACCAGTTTGTGCCAACGACACCATTAAAGAACATTAGTTGCTATCGCACCTTTATGGATATGTTACTAAACTGAAGTATAAAGCATTAATTGATCATTGATTTTACAATATATATTTAAAAATCTATTATATCTAAGTAACAGTCAATAAAATGCTTGACAACTCACTTTAGATACCCAACCCTGGATAAAAAAACGGTTAGCAGAGTAATACCCTTCCAGAACCGAATCCCTCATTAAATCCCTGCTTTGTTCATTTTCACCGCATACCCCACAGGTTCCGCCTAGATTTCTTCCCGAATAGAAATGTATTATGCAACCAACCACACCATATTTTCTTTCACATTTAACTGACCTAATCACGAGTGTGTAGGTATAACACAGTGAACTTGGTGAATCTGTCAACTAGCATATTTTTACTACCACATGAATCAAAGGCAGAAAGAAGTTCATTCCATTACAATTGGAAAGTACCCCCACACATTGCTAACGGGTAAGTTACTAACCAATGTCGCACTAAAGTCAAAGGCACTATCACTACAACACAACCAACTCCAAATTCGTGTCCACCATCTTCAGAATCATCAAAATGCAAATACTAATAATAATAATAACAAAGTAAAAAAACTAAAAAAACAATAAGAATTCCAAAATTGTCAAAGCAGAGTTAAAATTCGAACACAAAAGAAACGAAACCACAATAGCGAAGATGAATTTCATGATGATCGAAGAAAGAACATCACCTCACAGCGTGCACCGTATCTGCGACGTAACTGCGAGCTTTACAATTGCCTTGGCACGCGTAACTGCGAGCGAAATACGAAGTCACGCTATCGAGTGCGCTATATTGGGCGAAGAAGCCCTAAATCGTTCTTGAAGAGAGTTGGGGATTTACGATCCTCGAATCATGAAATAAAAAGGTAGAGAGAAAACTTCACTCTCTAAATGAAATATATCAAAAATCTGATCACGAGGGAAAATGTCTTTGTGATTTGAGAAAATAGAGGGACATGAAATAAGAATGTGGTAATTTTGTGATTCACGGAGATGAAATAATTTAAGTATAACTTTGCAACCTTTTATTAAACTTAAACAGTGTGGTAAATTACGGGTTCCTATTTACTTATTTTTCGTCATTTAGAAAATGTGGCTAAACGAATGTGCTCAAACACCGCATTTTTTGTAGTGTTATAACCTTGAAATAAATTATAATTACAAAAATACCTTGATTTTTGCCTCAAAACAACGTCGTTTTGGGTTCAATATCTATATTGACTGTAAAAAAAAATGAACTCATATTTTATATACATAAAAGTGGGTGGATTTTATAAAAAGAACAACGAAAAATAAAATTGACACGTATATATATGTATGCAAGAAAGAAAATTATGTAATTATATTGGGTTTGTAGGAGAAATATTAAAACTTATTGTGATTTTTTTTCTTTCTTTTTGCTGTTCCCTCCTTGACAATTTAAAAAAATAGTATCATAAATAAGTCAAGGAAAAGATGATAATCGATTATGACAGTGTAATTTAGAGGTGGGGGGGAACCAAAATTGCACTAGTCATTTCCATTGTAATTGTGGTGAGTAATGCTTTCGACGACATTGCCTTTTCCACTGCTCCAAATGAGCCTTGTTGGGCACTTCTTGCGAAATGGGACTTTTTACAAAAAAAATTCAATAATTTCTTTATGATTTTATTTTGAATCATTTATTTTTTTTATGTTTTTTAATCACTTATATCCTATGATTTTTTTCATCAAAAGTTATCTTAACATGCATGTTAGAAACTTAACTAAATTATCATATTTTACCTTTCATAGAAAAAGAAAATAAATTGAGGACAAAAAAAAAAATTAAGTCTAATTTGTTAGAAACTTGCAATACTTACAAAAAGTAATAAAAATAAAAATTAAGAAAAAAAGATTAAGTGCCCGTTTGGATGGATTTTTAATCCTAAAAAAGTTGCTTTTTTATTTTTTAAATAAAACTTCTTTTGAGAATTTTTAGAAGTTTGGATAACAATTTTTTAAAAAAGCAAAAAATTTAAAATAAAAGTTAAAATGCTGCTTTTTTTTTTTTATAGATAGTAGTTGGTTACTTTTGAAAAAAGCAGAAATTAAAAGATAATATAATTTTTTTTTTTAGAAAAAAGAATCTAAATTTTTAAAATACAATTTTAACCTTATCCTATCATACCTATTTTATCTCTCCTTATCTTACGATCATGCTATTTTATCTCTCCTTTATTGTAATTTTATATATAAAAGTGCTTCTTCTTTTTTTTTAACATCCAAACAATTTTTTTTATGTAAAAGTGATTTTCAAATCATACATCCAAACGTAAAATAACTTTACCTTTTAAAAAAATTTATTTTAAAAAAAGCAATGCATAAAAAGTCATTTTTTTAAAAACTCATCCAAACGGGCCCTAAATATGTCTAAATTAAAAATAAGAAAATAGGATATGTTTGTTTACGGAAGAAGAAAAAAGTAAATAGGAGGAGAAAAAAAAACAAGACCACATATGTTTGAAACTTACAATAGTAAATGAAAATACTAAAAGTAAAAAAATAAAAATAGTATAAATAAAAAAGAAGAAAATACGCCGAAGACAACAAACAAATAGAAGAAAAAAATAAGATTAGATATGTCTAAATTAAAAAGAAAAAAAAACAGACAGGGGACAAAAAAATAAGACCAAATATATTAGAAATTTAAAAAATTGATTTCTTTTTCTCTTACTTCTTTTTTGCCTTATTTTTTCTATTTCTTTCTAAAATGATAGAAAAGATTAAAAGTGAAAAAATGAAAATAGAGGAAAAAATACCAAATATATTGTACTATTTATTAAAAAGCCTTAAAAAAGCCTGTTTAATAAAAAGGTCGTAGGCCCACTTTCAAAAGGTCGGGCCTATAAGCCTGCAGGGCAGCTTATATTGTACTATTTATTTTAAATAAAATAAAATAGAGTAAGTATGTCTTGAAGAAAAAACAAAAGATATAAATTTAATCAATTACAATTATTTATAACTTAATTATATTCGATTATATTTTAATAGAAATCTTATTTTATTTCTTATATAGGAGGAACCAACATCTCAACATGTTAGATTGTATATATGAATATATTAAAAGATTTTTGGGAGAGTTATACTTACTACAAGCATCATGATTTGTTTGTTGGATTCATGTAGTTATTTTAATTTACATAGTATGGATTTGTTTATTGGATCTGATGAAATATATGTTATTTAGTTTGAGCATTTTGCTTTCGAAAATGACTTAAGTGCATATTGTATGATTTTTGTTATGATTCATGATTCTGTTTGGACGTTGAAATTATGATTTTTAGTGTAGCAACTGAATTTGAGTACTTTGTAAAGTTGATTCATGGTTCTGCTTGGAAGTTAAAAATTAACAAGTTAACGGGTCAAGCCAGGCCATTTATTTTTTTATAAACGGGTCAAACCAGGCTAACAGTTAGACTCATATTAGGCTTGGGCCAGGCCAAATTGAAAATTTTTGACGTAGGCTTGGGCTTTTCGGGGCAAAGCTTGGCGCAGCCCAACCCACTTTCACCCCTAGACACAAGGAATAAAAATCATGAGAGAGAAAGTGAGTAGTTTTTTTTTTTAATTTAAATTTTAAATAAAAAAATATTTTCTTATGTCTATCTTTTTTTTTTTTGGAAATACATTCTTATGTCTATCTCTCTTAAAATAACATAACTTTATGTCATTTAAAATGTTAAACCCTTTTCCCTTTTCCCTTTAAAGCAATGAAAAAACATTCAATCTGCAAAAATGATAATAAATAAATGACCGTATCAAAATAATTAAATTAGAATAATGGTCTCATTTGTGTTGGTTGAAAATACAACAAAACTGTTGCCATAATGCCATATAAATATAATGGGTTGGTTACAAATTTTTGTGTGCAGTATAGTGTGGTCTTTCAAATTTGGATAATTTTGCGGTTATGACTCCCCCTTCGGCGTACATGTCCACATATTTCGTGATTTCCCAAAAAAGTAATCGATTCTATAACTGATATAGAGTGATGTCATACTCTTCCCGTGTTGTGTGGGTTGCGTACACTCATTCGCATCAATTCCATAATGTGCTCATAAAATGAAAATGAAATTCATAATTTCATGCCTTAAAAGTCTTAAACTCTTCGATATAAAGAGTGTTTCGTAGAGGAGAAATTTTTTTTTGTCTGAGAATCTCGATTTTTAAAAATATAATTTTTATATTCATGATAATATCTAAAAATTTAAAATTTAGAAAAATTCAATTTCTATAAAATTCAGCCAAAATCCTTGTACCAAACGCCCCCTAATGTTAAGCTAGAAAAATTCAATTTAATATCAGAAAAATTAAAATTTAAAGTCGTTCTCGTATGTTAAAAGTCTTTAATGTCGTTCTCTAATTTACCTTATGTCGTCATATGTCGACATTGAAATTGACTGACATTCACAATTCGCTGGAAAAAAATTAAAATTGACACTCACATAGTAACTATACGTCCCCTAATGTTAAGCTAGAAAATATTGTGATTTTTTTTGTATGTCATTTTGTTTTCACATATTGTAATTTTCTAATTAAGTCCTCACACACATATATATATATATATATATATATATATATATATATATATATATATATATATCCCTGTAATTCTCATCTTCATTCGTATCATAGCCAGCTACGGTTTCGTTGTGCTTCATACTTGGTTTCTTCTACCATAATATCCTTCTCTATAACTATTTCTCAGTTCCTTTTTAGAATTCTCCAAATGAACAATACTTGGATTTTTCTCTTCCTGGTTCTTCTTCCCTGTATGGTTTTAGGTGACTGTACATGTGAAGCAGAGGATGAAGCCGGTGGTGACGAGAGTTTGGCATTGAAATACAAAATAGCAGCTCTTGTTTCGATTCTTGTTGCAAGTGCAATCGGTGTTAGCATTCCAATGCTTAACAAAACATTCTCGGCCTTGCGTCCCGAAAAGGACTTGTTCTTCATGATAAAGGCCTTTGCAGCTGGAGTCATATTATCAACTGGTTTCATCCATGTGTTGCCTGATGCTTTTGAAAAGTTAACATCTCCTTGTCTCAGTGACCATCCATGGGGAGATTTTCCATTCACCGGATTTGTGGCAATGTTATCCGCTATTGGAACCCTCATGATTGATTCTCTTGCAACCGCATATTTTAACAAGTCTCACTTTAACGACAAGGATCAAGTCATTGACGAAGAAAAGATGGAGGAGATACATGGTGATCATTTGCATGTTCATACCCATGCAACTCATGGCCATGCTCATGGTTCCATTCCTTCTTCTGCTTCAACAGACCTCCTTCGCCATCGTGTTATTTCTCAGGTAATTCAATTTTTGGGCTATATAGCTTGTTCTCTCTAACTCTAACCAATTGTAATGCAAAATATTTTGTCAATTTTCTTGTCAAATTAAATTCGTGTGGATTCTCGTAATTTCACTCGTAATTTTTCCTTAATAAACAAAGACACATGAAAAAAAGACTTGTTTCGCTTAAAGAAAGAAAAAAAGACACATGAAAAGGGGAAAAAAGCATGCAAAGAAATCAGGGAGTTGGTTATTTTTTAGTTACAGTATATATATACATTAACTTACTTTTAATTTTATAACACATTCTGTGTATTTTTTTATCCCCAAATAAACAATACTGACAAACTTAATTACTTGCGTGTGGAATTGTGATATTTGATAATTTAATTGTAGGTGTTGGAGATGGGGATTGTGGTGCATTCTGTGATAATAGGGATATCTCTGGGTGCATCTGTGAGTCCTAAGACGATAAGGCCTCTTATTGCTGCTTTAACTTTCCATCAATTTTTTGAAGGAATGGGGCTTGGTGGTTGCATCTCACAGGTATTTGTATATATCACTCATTTATCTTTTTTTCTAATTTACTATTCTTGTGGCCACTGGATTCGATTTTCTTTTATCGGGTGGTCCTCTAGTTTTAAATATGGGTTTTATAATTCTCATTGAACATGAGAATTCAAATTTTCCTACACACTCTTCGATTTCCGTGTTTACATGGGTCATACATATAATTTTTTCTAACACATGGGTCCCACATGCTTTTTATCTCTACAACATGAGAATTGAATTCTCATTCAACATGAGAAAATCAAACCCCTTTAAATATATGTTGACATATGTATATCTTAACATTAGATTGGCTCGGTTTCAAAAGTTTCAGCTGTAAAGCCACTCTTCTTCTATTAACCATACATGTTCTCATGTTTTCCTGAGCTGCTAAAAACGCGTTAATTATTCAAAAGCGACTTGCCCTAATTTCCATAATCAGTTAAAGCAAGGAAACTAGTACCAACCAAACCATGCATGTCTGTAGTGTACTATCAATATATATACATGAATGTTTTTTTTCCTTTTTGTGATATAGTAGTATTGGATGCTATTCATATGGCTTGAATAAAATGTACGAAACTTTAAAGCACAGACGAATAAAAACAACAATTTTACATTGCCTAGTTTATTGGTGGTGACTGCTTAAATATTCCCTTTAAGTCGAACATTCAAAGTTTTCTATGATGTTACTTTTATAGTCTTGTCGTACCTGTCTGGAATTTTATTCGGTATCGATACTTATTTTATATATACATATTCAATATCTAATTATTACTCAAGTATAAGTTAGTTCATGTAAAACATCACTATTAATCGAAACAAATTTTTATTTTTATTTCGTTCAAAACATGTTTTTTAAATATTTTTATTTACTTAAGTTAAAAAATTATAAAAATCATATTTATCTTATAATTTATTTGTTTGTTTTTTTATATGATATATCCTGCGATATTGTGCTTTAATTTTTAAAAATTTATTCAGAAACCATATCAATATTGACACAAGCATGATGTAACTTGTATAGTTGCAAAGAATATAGAATAATACTTTTTAGAGTTTCTGAATTAGAATATTCAAAGTCAAAGGATAGGGTCAAGTTGCTGGTTCGGCATTTGACGGACGACATCCACATAAAATACATAGGAATTGTGCTCTTCGCGCGCAAGCGCGAGTTATATAAGAATTCAATTCTTAGAGAATAAAAATGAAGTGTATATTCTTAAAGACTTAAAAACAACAATTTAATACTGAATAACGACATCCTCTTTGGTATCATAAGAGTAAATAAATAGATATTTTCACAACCAGGGAAAAAATATAATAAATAGTTAAATACTACAGTATTGACTGGTATTATATACTTATTAATTTGTATTTATTATTTTTATTATAAAAACATGATGATAAAGAGGATTTGAAGTGAAATATTACTAAATAATGAAAATTGATGAGTAATTACAGGTAAATGTAATTGCAAAGTTATAAATATTTATAATTTCTACCTTTATCTTCAAATCTTTAAAAGATAAATAAAACACATTTATATTTTTTTTCATATTTTTCAAATCATAAAAATAGTAGTTAATAATGATAATCTAAAAAAGAAAATTGAACATCAAAGTAAAAATTATTTTATAATAATATAGATAGATATAAGCAAGTAAGGGTCACTTTTATTTTAGAGTATAATTGTTTATTTTAATTTATAATAAAAACATGTTCTCCCTTAATCTAATTTAGAGCACATCATCCTCACCAAAGAAAAAAGAGCACATCATAATTTTAATTTACTAAAATTTAGACACAAGATCAATTTGAAAAAAAAAAAAAACTTTTTCCTCCGTTTTAATACTAGTGAGTTGGAGCCTAACTATTACCGTATATCTATCTACTCAGGCAAAGTTCAAGACCAAAGCAATTATAATCATGGCATTATTTTTTTCATTGACAACACCTGTGGGAATTGCAATCGGTATATGGATTAGTAAGGGTTACGACGAGAACAGCCCAAGAGCTCTCATTGTGGAAGGGATTCTTAATGCAGCATCATCTGGGATCTTAATTTACATGGCTCTTGTGGATCTCCTTGCAGCTGATTTTATGAATCCAAGAATCCAAGGAAGTGGTAGGCTTCAAATTGGAGCTAATGTATCTCTCCTTCTTGGGGCTGGTTGTATGTCACTTCTAGCTAAATGGGCCTAAAGCAGTGAAGCTTACTCTTGTATATAGCTTTCTTTCCATCGCTCCTCCTTTTTTCTATCTTAATCCTTTTGGGAAAATGTCAATTGAGAATAAGTACTTGCAATATTTTTTTTTGTCTTAGAAGTTTTTATTTTGGTTATTACTAATTAAGTTTATATATGGGTGTTTATAGGATGAGTTTTAACTTAATCCGAATTTGACAGATATTTTAATTGAGTTCTTTTTTTAACAAAGACCCCATTTGATTATAGCGTGACTAACTCAAAGTGTAAATCAAATTTACAATTTTAAGTATAATACTTCATAAATTTTAAAAGTAGGACACTAAAAGTAAGAGATGTTTATAATATATACTTTGAATCAAATTATGTCAATACAAAACTATTATCTCACAGTGTAGGAGATATTAATTAATGTCAATAATTATTATGTGGTATTTATAGTAGGTTTACAATTTAGAATCCAAACCACTCCAATTGGTTAAGGGCATTATTCATCAATCTTAGTTGGGTTTTACGTACCCGTACATTTATGAATATCAAATTTAATATGTTAAAAGCTTAGGCAATGCAAATGGTTTACTTAAAAAATGTGTACCTTCTTGTTTAAACAAAGATGATGCAATTCATAGTTGAAGTTACAACACCTGTTAGGTTCTTAAAAAGATTATCGCGTATTTACAACATATACGGAAATTACTCTGTAGCATATTGGATCATTTTATAAGGGGAAAAGAAAAACGGAATATGAACTCAATATACACGACAATACAATTTTCTTTTAAAAGAGTTAAGTAAATTCGCATTAACATTATATGTATAGTTCAAATATGAGATAATTCCTGAGCAGAAAATTAAAGAAAGAGCTTAAGTTCAACACGGAAATATTAGTCTCCCATAATTACCCAGCTTAATAATTATCATCATTATTACTTATTGGAAGGCCCTTTCCCTCTTGTACATATAAGCGTCATAGACCTGCATTTAACCAGCTTAATATGTTTAATTTATGGGAAAAATGTGTATCATTTTAAATGATGTAAAGTTGTATCATTTTAAGTGAGAGAAAGAGATAGATAAAGGAGGAGAGAGTGGACAAAAAATATAAAGGTATGGGTTCCACCTCCTTGTAAGAGTGAAAGGATATAAGTTGTGTCATTTAAAAGGACAAACACTTTTTCCTTAATTTATAAATATTGTTTTGCGCTTGGCACAAATTTAAACATTTTATTAAAAAAAAGAAAGAAAATAAAAGACTTGACTGTTTTCCAAAGAAGAAAGTGGGTCGACTGGAGTTGAAATGGGCCGAGTCCATGTTCTATCTTGAAAAAAAAAAAAAAATCAAGATTAGGAAAGTATAAGAATTTTTTGTTTTTGTTTTTTTTTTTCAAAAAATTTATATGTTTCTGGAAATCAAATAAATAAAATCAGGTTGGGAGGAGGAGAAGAAGAAGCGCGAATCAAGCCAGATGGTAATTTTTTTTTTTCCAATTTTCAAGATTCGTGTTGTCTAAATTTCTTGTTCTCAGCGCTAAATATACGATCTAAGTTAATGTTGAGGAATCGGTTTTATTTTTTGCTGTTCGGATCTCTTGTTAATTTGCTCTGTATATATCGAATCTTGGTGCTAAGCACTTATGTTTTGTTCTTAATCTGTAGATTTAGTTTAATAATGCTCATAGTTGTTGCATCCTTTTCATCGGTTGAATAGTATTTTGAATAATACTCTGATCGTGATTCATGGCCACTTTTCATATTTTCATGTTGAAACTCCACTTTCTCCCAAACTTGAAACCTACCCCGACTCATGTGAATATCAACGTTCTTTCTTGTTTTGGTAGTCAACTATGAAGGTGATTCTCACCTTTTATGTTGTACTGGCAATACATTTATACTTGTTGTATGAAATTGTAGGCAACTTTATGATAACAGGACCTCTTTCCCCATTGTAATTAGGATGCTCTATTACTTGATTTTGGTTGTCATCCATGTTTATATATTATCTAGAGCTTGCATGCAGGGCAGGGGTGCTGTTTTATACTATCATGTATTTCCTATTTCAACATGCTTTATTCCTCTTCTTAAATGTAGATACACTTTGTGCTGCTCATTAGTCGTCAAGGGAAGGTCAGACTGACAAAATGGTATTCGCCTTACTCTCAGAAGGAAAGAAATCAGGTAACAACATATTACTTATTAAGTTCTTGATAATTTGCTAAGCTCCTCTTTTCCTTCTGTGTATGTTATTTTCTTGGCTGGTAGGGTGTATTTCTTCTGGTTTCTGTTATTAAACTTATTTGTATTTCAATCTTGCATGCATAATGATGATATTATTGTGATTATTGCATGCTGAGTCCACACTGCATCCCACATTAAACATCCTTGATATATGAATTTATATGCAATCTGTTCATGTCAAGGTAATCCGTGAGCTCAGTGGAGTGATTCTTAGCCGTGCTCCCAAGCTCTGTAATTTTGTAGAATGGAGAGGATATAAAGTTGTTTATAAAAGGTATTGTAAAAAGAGTTCGTGGCTTTTTGTCGTATACCGCTAATCCTTTGCAAGGCACTCTTCAGTCTGGCGTGATATTTGATTCACTACCTTCTAATGAATATCTGATGCAGGTATGCTAGTCTTTATTTCTGCATGTGTATTGATGAAGAAGACAATGAATTAGAAGTCCTTGAAACAATTCATCATTATGTGGAGATTCTTGATCGATATTTTGGCAGTGTGAGTTCTATTAAAAGCTTTGACTTTTGAGGAGTAATACTTGATTTACTAGTGGAAATACTTCCCTTCTTTTTGGAAGTATATAAGAATTTGTCGTGTCTATTTAACTTGATGGTGATCACTTCGCAATTTGCAGGTTTGTGAACTGGACTTGATATTCAACTTCAATAAGGTTTGTCCACATATCATGATTTATGTCCAACAATCAAAACAAGGGCTACTTATTTTCCTTTAACCTGTTACTGCTATTATAAATGATTCTTCCAAGGTGGATCCACCCTGAATTAGAGTCAATAATTGTTTTTATCAACTGTCATTTTTTGGTGAAATACATCCCTTCTTATCTGTTCTTTGATTTTTGTGCCATGGAAGGCCTATTATATTCTAGATGAAGTTCTAATTGCTGGTGAGCTTCAGGAGTCGAGCAAGAAAACTGTTGCCCGGTTGATAGCTGCACAGGTATTTCTCTTTTGGAAATGTTTTGGTCGGCAATTTCTTTCTCAGAGTTTTTTCAATGCAATTTTACGCGATATTGGCTTTCAGGATTCATTGGTGCAGACTGCTAAGGAGGAAGCGAGTTCAATAAGTAATATAATCGCACAAGCCACTAAGTGAGGAGATCCGATGTTAGACAATTGTTTGGCATGATTAAAGTGTGCACTTTTCCTGTTAATATAGTTTATGTTTATGTCCCAATTTTACTGTTGTTAAGTTGAATGTTCGATTTTCGATCTTCGTGATTTTTTTTTGGGTACAATAGAAAAAAAAAAAAAAAAAAAACTAATTCCAAACAGTTACAGGGAGATTCGACCTTTCTTATGGTTGGCAATTTTAAGTTTTGTGTGTGGTGACTGGATTTGAATCCTTTTATGTGAAAAAGTAATTATGTTATTTGATGATCATAATCACTCATTGACGATGAGATAAGAGAGAGAAAAATATATAATTTTAAACGAATAGTTGTGATCAAATAACATTACTATATGATCACTTTTTCACGTGAGAGGATTCAAATTCAGGGGTGACATGTTTATTACTCCTAAAACGAATTACAGCTTCCCTCTTCTTTACATATCGCTAGGCGTCCCTGCAGAATTCTCCTATACTCCACCAAACCCTCTTTCACAACTCTTTTCCCCAAACATAGAAAATGCCATCAAAATTCTCCTGCAGGTACTCTTTGCACGAAGCGAACTTGTGAAATTAACGAAAAGCCTTGAGAAAGTCTTGTGAAATTAATCGCAAACCTTGAGAAAGCAACCCAGTTGAAGAAGCTGAAGGTTCTTGGGCAGCTTTGATAATGAACGAAAAGCCTTCTTTTCTAGATGAATGAAAAGTACCATGCTTCTGTAACAATGACACATATGTCAGAAACAGATAAAAATGAATCAAATTACCAAATTAAAGCAAAGATACTACATGGGAAAAAGAGTTGTAAAAGAGGGTTTGGTGGACTGTAGGAGAATTCTGCAGGGACGCCATTGTTGCAAAGAAGACGGAAGCACAAAGCGCAAGAAAAAATAGCGATATGTAAAGAAGACGGAAGCTGTAATTCGTTTTAATTAAAAAAAGATGAAAACGGTGATGTTTAAGTGCACAACAGATATACTTATCTAAAGTTACAGTAGAAACTTTTTTCCAAAGTTTTAACTTAAAACAATTACGTCAAAAAATTTTACAGAAAATATTTCCATAAAAAAATTTCGCAAAATTTTTTGACGAGAAGTATTATCATCAAAATTTATGACTAAAAACAATTTTGTAAAACAATTTGACGAAAAAAAAAATTTGTCAAATATTTTTACGGAATTTAAATTTGGTCAAAATAATTCACAAAAAAACATATTTATTAAAAATTTCGACGAAACACATTTTCATCGAAATTTTTTAACGAAAAAAAATTTCATCAAAATTTTTTTACAAAATTCTAATTTCGGCAAAAATTTTCAACGGAAACATTTTTCTTAAATTTTTTGACAAAATAAATTTCGTCAAATTTTTTAGCGAAACGCATTTCCATCGAAATTTGTTTACTAAATATTTTCGTCAAGTTTTTTGATAAAAAATATTTTTATCAAAATTTACAAAAACATTGTGCAGGATTAGAAAAAACATGCAAACCAAGCGTAAAGGACATGGTTAGTTGACCAATTACTATCAATAACACATGAAAAGTCCCAACAGTTATTTCAATTTTTGATGTAAAGAATTTTCAACCTTCTAAAGAAAAAGTGGCAAAGAAAATAATTACAGTGTGTTTTTTTTTAAAGCATGCTTATTTGATTGGGTAATAATATTTGTACACCATAATATCTATTATTTTTACATCCTTATTATATATATATATATATATATATATATATATATATATACATAATTTAAATAAATGACATAAAAATAGTATTAAAAATATAATAGGTAGATATTATTATAGCATTTTGTAAAATAACTCCCCGTTACCGGTATGTTATATTGGTTTAGTTAAAGAATATACAGTTGCCTTAAAAAATTTGTAAAATACTTTTGCTACGCTTGTGATTTAGCTAAGCACAAATCGAAATTTGTGTGCAATTGACGAATTAGTGGAGGAATAAAAAAAAATACAAAATTTTAAGAAAATATTTTGTGTGAAGAATAATAATATGTATTGAGAAACATATTAATTTTATGGATTTAATGCCTCTCTTGTAGGAAATTACCTCCTATACATATGTAAAAGGGGTTTTTGACCCTTTTGCCCCTAATTAAATAATTAATAACTAATTTGCCCTTCCCCCAGAACTATCCACCATCCTGCCTCCATTTAGTCGATTAAGTTGCACTTTTAATCGACTAAATGGGCTAAACTCAGAAATTATGAAACGCGAATTTTAGTCGACTAAAAACTCACCTTAATCGACTAAATTGTTTGCACTTTTAGTCGACTAAGCACATCATTTAGTCGACTAAAGATCGCGAAAAACCCTATATCCAGACCTCTCTTGGGCTCATTTTCAAAATATTCGAAATCAAAACTTCTCTCTTGGTCTCTTTCTCTTGTTTGTCAGCTGGGAACCTTCCAATCACCCTTCCATTTCATCCCACCACCTCTAAGACATAGTAATTGTGAAATCATTGTCATTTTCCTTTATTTCTCAATTGTTTCCCCCAAATCCGAACCCTAACTCCTAAAATCTGATTCCTACCCCCAAAATTCGTGTGAAAGATGAGCTCAAGTCCAAACATGTATGTTACCATGATTTACTATGATGGAAAGCATTATGAAGGCCCCAACAGTGTTCAATTTGAAGGAAAAACGAAAATGTTGAAAATCAAACGGGGCACTATGTACAATGAGCTGAAGGGGAGGATTAACCAAAAATTGGGGCTACATGGCAGCCATGGCGTTCAACGGATGATCGCTAGGGTAGAGTCTACAGTTGGTAAGGATGCTATATTCTACATTGGTAATGATATATGTGACGATGAAGATGTGGATTGTGTCATAGATGCAATTGTGGACCGAAAATTTCAAAACTTTATTGAGATATATGTTGAAATAGACTGTGGTCAATCTTCATCTGCACCTGTGCATGGAAGAAGTCAAAGTCAAGAAGACAGAGTGGTCGGTTTATCTGCACCTGCACCTGTCTTAAGTCAGATACCACTGAGGGAAATAGACGAGGATGAGGATGGGCATGACGAGGATATGGACAGTGAAGACGATGGTGAACCCGAGAGTGTTATTCCGCTGGGTGACACCTCAGATACAGACGTAGAGGGGAATTTTGACGCTGATACTAGTTCAGGAAACTTGAGTTCCCAGGTTATGCCACCGCTCCGTGTTGACCCTATTAGCAGTGGTAAGATTGTAATATAAAGTTTTGATAGATTGAAACTCATAACTAATACTAATATTACCAAAAAATGAAATCACCAAGTTTCGGGGAGCGTAAACAAACGATTTGGGGTAATACGTACCCAATCGCATACGAATCCTGTACAATACTATTTTGTACCTGAAAGTGTGTTCCCCAAGTCATTATATGCGTGTACATTGATATTCGATCGGTTCCGTGCCAAAAAAAATCGTGCAAAACAGAATGGGGTGTCAAAACCAGTTATTTAGTCGAGCAACCCGTACTGGTTTAGTCGACTACACTGTGTAGTCGACTAAACCAGTACGGGTTGCTCGACTAAATAACTGGTTTTGACACCCCATTCTGTTTTGCACGATTTTTTTTGGCACGGAACCGATCGAATATCAATGTACACGCATATAATGACTTGGGGAACACACTTTCAGGTACAAAATAGTATTGTACAGGTTATAAACCACGAATGTACATGTACTGCATAAATGCTCCAAGTTAGGGTATCCGAAACTTGTGTTCTTATTTTAACTCTGTTAAGGTCACCTGTTCTGAATTTCATTGGACATTTTAGACCCGTTGGACTGTGATTAGACACAAATTGAAAACATGAAGGTAAAAGATGTTTGTTCCTTCATTTGGTAAACAAGAAAACAGCAATAATTACGTAAACGGTTCACAACATGATGGGAACATCAAATAGTTCATTTCATAACCATAATATTACATAAGCTACAAATGTCAAATAGGAAGATCGAAGTCAATTACATAACAACATACACTAGAAACGTAAAATAGAAACATAAACCCTAAATCTAATCCTCATCCTCCTCGGACGCCGTCTCCTCGTCATCCTCATCTGACACATCAGCCCCCTGCCCTGCAACATCCTCAATCTGCTGTCCTCGTCCAAGCTCTAGACGAGCAAGCCTATCTTTAACACCCTTGAACCGTCCCTGTATATGTCTAAATCTTTCATTTCCCTTCTGCACGTGACTCTTCCTCCATTTTTTGTGTTTCAGCGCCATTTTTCCTATTTTCTTCAGTGTGGCGTTTATGCCCTTCATGACATCACGTAATGAAAACCCACCATCAGGCTCAGCTATCTCCTGCTGGTCACCCTCATCATCATCGTCATCATCATCCTCCACCTCGGGGTCAACCATGTCTACAACTGGAGCAACATCAGGAACCTCAACATCAGCCGCACCTATGAACTGCCACACTCCTGTTTGGGGGTTCTTTGTCATCTTGCACTGCTCCAGTAGACGTTTTCCAAACTTATGATCATACCCTCTGGTCTTCTTCAAGGTCACATTACCCATGTGAACATCAAAATGCTCCAATATCCTTTGAACAAGACAAGCAAATGGAAGTGCACCCTTGTGTTTGGCCTTATACATCATCCAACACATGTAGTGCCTCCAGTTCACCGAAGTACCATGTCGGATAGCCCACATGATGGGAATGTCATGCTCCAACACCCTGGAATGATTGAACGCTCGTGGAAACAAAATGTGGGTGACGACATAGTGTAGTATGCGGGACTCCACAGTAAGCAACCCCAAGATCCTAAGATGTGATTCCTCCAACCACCTCACAATGTTAAAACCTTCTTGTTCAAAAAAGGTTGTATCAAGTGATTTGGCCCCACAAATCGGTCGGTTAACAAAGTCACGGACAAAAGATTCATGAACCACCGGGTCATTCTCGAACAAGTATCCGAATGGGAGGTCCACAACAGCGGGGTCTTCCTCTTGTGGCCTTGACGAAGACGGACGGTCTTGTCGTAGCTTTTGTCGTCTCTCATTTCCAGTGCTAGACGATCTTCTACGGCCAGCCATGGGAACAATTGTACCTACAATGCAAGTGGAAACAAAAATCAATGAACAATAACAATATCAAAAAATTTAAAATTCAATATAAAAAACAAAACCTAATCCTAAAATAAA